TGGGGAGGTCAAGATGCAGCCGGCAGTGGTGGGGAGTAAGTATGATGATGGTTTTCCTGGGGCTTGGTAGTTCAAGCTCTGCAGAAAGTAGCATCTGTGCTAAAGTCGAGCTTTAACCCTCACTTTTGCCAGTGTCAGTGTGGGAAGTGTTAATGGTTATTTCCTGGCTGACAATATTACAGAGTCACAGAAGGGTTTTGGGTTGGAAGGGACCAGGGTGCTGCAAGGGTATGTAGGGGCAGGACAAGAGCTTTAACTTGCCAAAGGGGAGATTGAGATGAGCTCTTAGGCAGAAGTTCTTCCCTGTGAGGGTGCAGAGGCGCAGGCACAGATTGCCCAGAGAAGCTGTGGCTGCCCCATCCCTGGCAGTGTTCAAGGCCAGATTGGATACAGGGGCTTGGAGCAACCTGTTCTAGTGGAAGGTGTCTCTGCCCATGGCAGGGATTGGAGCTGGATGAGCTTTAAGGTCCCTTCCAACCCAAACCATTCCATGATTCAATGATCTGAGGGTGTCGGGCTGAAGCTCAGGCTCAGCTCTGCCCTCTGAGAGCTGTGTTTGCAGTTGCCTTGGAAATCAGTTGCTTGAGCAGGCAGTGATCCAGCCTGCGACGCTTCAGGTCTGCTGTCTGTAGGCATTTGGGTGTGCTGAACCACTCTGTCTTTGAACCCTGTTTGTGAAGGCAGCCCAGGGCTGGAGGAGGACCATGGGTGGCTGCTAAAGAGCAGCTTCATTAGTAAGAGTATAAGGGTTTTCTGAGGAAGGAAAGCATCTACATGCCTGGCTGTGTGGGAATCTGCTTTATGCATGTTGGAGATGAAGAGCAGGCAGGCACCTATGGTGCTTGTTTTGGATAGTCATACCTCAGAATAAGCAAGAGAGATTGCTCTAATGAGCTGTCATCGTAGGAACAGTGTTTCCTCCTCCCCCATGCCAGCCTGGAGCAATGTGATCTGAGCAAAAAACCAAGTGCCTTCAGCCTTGATGTAAGGAGTGATTGTTTGAACGTCTTAAGGTAGTAGAAATGTTCAGGGCAGTGTAAATGGGGTGATTTGGCTTGTGTATGGCACTGGAAATTTAAAACTCAATGAGCTAGATAAAAATCATCTTGGATGTTTGATATGGCTGAACACTTGTGACATCCCTGTTCAACAGGGAGTCTGGCAAGGGCATTGGAGGTTTTGGTCATTCTTTCACCTTTGCCTGTGCCAGGAGGTGGTGGGTTTCTGGAGCAGTCTGAGAAGTTCAGTCTTGCTTACCGGGCAGCCTGTACTTGAGGTGTACTTCATTTAAACAGTCTGAAACTGGTGCTAGTTTTCTTCATCTGTGCTAGATTTTGGCATTGGTGCCCCAGCTGAGTACTGAGTATTTGCTTTTCCATTTAAACCTTATTTTCCATGCTTTCCCATCCTCACCGTTCTGTGTTCTGTCCTGGAGCAGGCACAGATCTGAGCTGAGGAGTGGGGATCAGCAAACAATCATTGAGAAGTATCAATTTAAAGCTCAGGAGAGGGAAAGAGAATCACTTTACTGTTTTATCCATTTGAAAACTCCCTTTAGACTCCCACAGAGGCCCTCTCTGGGCACCTGGATGCAGGCAAAAGGACCTGGAAGAAATGTGAAACAACACTGATCCTTGGATCGGATGCAGGCAAAAAGCCCTGGGTACCCAGCAGCTCTAGGAAGGGGCTCAGTGTGATTATCCCCCTTTACAGATGGGGAATCAGCTCTGAATCTTGCCCATAGTTACAGAACTCACTATGGGAATAAACCTCAGTCTAGTGCTTTATTCACTGTATATCTCTTCTTCTATTATGCTGTTGCACTGGTATTAAATCTTAATTAAAAGAAGCTTCAAATTTGCCAATCAGAACAATGAAAGGATTTCGAAGCCTCCAGTTTTCTTTCACAACTGTGATGCTGCTCATTATGCTTTTTCTCTTTCATTTCCTTTAGACAGCAAAAGTAATTGGGGTGACTTTGGTTTCTTTCCAGTTGGTTTCTTGGCCCAGCTGTGTATTTAAGCATAAGCTAAATCAGTAGGATGCAAACACCTGTGATGAATGGCAGGTTAGATTAAAAATTACCTAATGGCTTCTTCTGCTTTAATCTCTCTGAACTAAATGTGTCTGAAGTTAATGGGATCATTTCCCAAATAAAGCTCTACATGACTCTCTTCTTTTTTTCCACTTCCCTTAAGAGTCCCTTTAAATTTTTATATCAATTAGTTTTGTTAAACCATTTAACCAAGACTGAATCTAAATGCATGGCACTGTGCCCTTTCCAAGCATCATATGCATGAAGAGCATTAACCCCTTCTTGGGAGAACTGACTTGCTGGGTACTGTGCTCATGCTGGGTATATCAGAACTGCAGGGTAAGGGCTTCCATCCATGGCGGGGATGGCTCTAGATTAAATGTTTTAACATAGAGGGTATCTGTTTCTTCTTTATATTGCATTATCCCAGTTTGTACCAGTAGCTCTAGCTCCTGGCTGTCCATTTCCAGGCATCCAGTGACAACAGTTTGGTATGGAGGTGCTCGGGTCTTGTTCGTATCTTCATCTCTAGTTGGAGGAGGTGCACTGCCCTCGTCTGTATTGGTGTTGTGTTATGTGGTCATTCAAGTTGCTTATCAAATCTGGAAAACTAGCTTTTTTTTCCTTCCCCTCCTTGTGCATGTGGTGTGCTTAAAGTGGAAAGAGCTTTGAGTGATTTAATGGGGCTCTGAAAGAATATTGCAAGCTCCCTAATTCAGAAAGTTGCTTTACATGTGTCTCCTCTTGCAAACTTGCCTGCAGTTGATGTTTCTTTGAAGAGCCTGTGATGACTCTTTATCTATAGCTGGTTGAAGCACGTTCAGCTCTGCCTGCATGTCAGTGGTGTTTGGCACTTCATTTTCAAAGAGAATTTGTTAATAAATTGTAGCCTGAGAGATGAAAGGTTCTGTGTTGAGTCTCATTTGAGGTGGGGAGACACCAGACAGGACAAGAAGGAGCTTAAGAGATATTTGATTTTTCAGGAGAGGACAGAGTCCTCTTCCAAGAGCAAATCAAGGTCATACTTCTGGCCATCACCTGGTGAGCTAGGAGGAAAGAGTACCAGATGTGAGCTGTGGTACTCCACAAGCAAATACTGAGTGCAATGGATTCCATAGTAGAGTGGTCGAGTTTGGTCAGTGGAATGGAGAGAGCTCTGAAGCTGTCACCTTGGTGACATCATGAAGAATGTGACTGGTAGCCCTTTGTCCATATTGCCTTCCATTGTGTTTGCAGGAGGCAGTCCTGTCCCTGGAGTGGCTTAGCACCTTCATACTGATTTTCATTTTCTAAATGCTGCTCTTGCAGATTTTCTTCCAACTGTTTTCTCAAGTGGGTACTCTGATCTTTAAAAAGTACATATATTTCTACTATTACCAACACATAATCAACAAGACTGCATGTATAGCAAAGTGGAACCAGCTTCAGGAGGTACAGAGAGGTAAAATTCAGCCCCAGAAGCACCTTTGTTCTCTGTCGAGCAGCAATATTGTCTAGCTCAGCCCAGGCAGAGCTCTCCAGAGAGTGTGATGCTGTTGGGAAGTATCGATCCCTGGGCTGGACTCTCTGTGTCCATCCCCCTTCCGCTTGGTGCTGTGAGAGCAATAATAATTCCTGTGTTATTACGCTGCCCCCACTGAAGCAGTACCCAGACAGGAGAGCAGCTTCTTGACCAGACTCTTACACCTCGGCTGGTTTTGGCTTGTAGTCTGTTGAGAGCTGTGAGAAAAGTTTAAACTTGCTGTTGAGGGACTTGGGCCATCTCTGAAGTCTCGGGTATTGAGAAAGGTTAGAAATTATTTACCAAATAGAGCCACTTGCCCCGTAGTAAGATGAATGTGCTTGGTGTGCAGAGAGGGGTTTTTAGGTCCTGGCTTGTCTGTTCCTCCCCCAGTGAAGATGCTCATCCCTGCTCTGTGTAAAACTTGGCTAAGAGAAAGTTAGTTACCAAAAAAGCCACTGATGATGAGCACATGTTACAATTTGGGAGGTGATGCTGCACCTCATAGCAAGTAAAAAGAACATCAACATTCCTCTCATGTGAGCTTCCTAGGGATGTTCTGGATGTTCCTGGGGGGCTGTGGCTGGTGTCCTGGCCTCCCTGTACCTTTGTTTCACCCAAGGCTGGGTGAGCTTCAGGACAGACACTGCTCCAATAGCTGCCTTTATGTACAGTCTGTCCTGTGCCCTCTGCCTCACTCCTTTCATAAACAGCTGGGAACTGCAGTCCTTGGTATGTGGGGAGGAGTGGGAAAGCTGCCTCTGGCCAGGGAAAGCTTCACTGCACCCGCTGAGATGTGACGTTGGTGAAGCCGCTGTGGGCAATGGTGTTCGAGTGATTTGGTGGACGTTTGTAGCCGGGGTCTGTCTGCACAGAAACCAGACATCATGTGGCTCTCCTCACGCTGGAAGCTGTCACTGTCGCTAGTACCACACATTGGAGATGAGATGCTGCTTCTCATTAACATCAAAGGGTAAAGGGCATCCTCCAGAGGATTTGGCGGGGTGGCTGCCACATCATTAACACAGCTCTTGGCCTTTCATATGCTTTGTATCACCTACTCTGATAAAAGGTGTGGATGCTTGAAATAATTGTTGGTAACATTGTCGGGCATGTTATTGCGGTATCCTTTATCCATACAGCAGTGTGGCAGCCTGGTGCCATGGCAGTATTTATTTGTGTTTTGCTAACACCTCCTTACCTCAACCTGTATTGCCTGGGGTGATGGATGAGCACAGAATGTGTCCTCAAGTTTAATAACTTCAATGCTGAAGTGCTCAGCCTCTCATGAATATGGATATTTCGTTTTTCTTAGCATTTCCAATGACTTTCCTAGTCTCTGCTTTTAAGACGCGCTCACCAGAAGCCTGCTGGTTTTTGTTAGCTCCAGGGTGTGTTTATAAGCAAACGTGTGTGTTTATATGCTGCTGATGGCTGTTTTCTTCCTCCCTTTCTCTTCCCTAGAAACTAGCAGCTGAATGTCAGAGTGCTGGCTACCCTGGAACCCTCATCCCATACAAGTGTGATCTCTCCAACGAAGAGGAGATCCTGTCAATGTTCTCTGCCATCAAGACCCTTCACCAAGGAGTTGATGTGTGCATCAACAACGCAGGGCTTGCTCGGCCAGAGCCCCTGCTCTCGGGGAAGACGGAGGGTTGGCGAACGATGATAGATGTGAGTAGTGCCACACAGAGTGGGAACTGTGCTAGATTCTGATTTCTTCTGGCCACCAGCGTCATTGTCTCCATCTATTTATTGCATGCATGTAAAGCTGAGGACCTGCTTCTCGTCTGGCTCTCATATGGCCTGGGTTTAATGATTGGGAAGTCGAAAGACATCATGCACTGCTGAGACACATGCCTTTACTTTGGAGTATGAAAACACTCAATACCTTCAGTAACACTTTCCCCCTGTAACTCAGTGGCTTTCTAAAGGGTGATGAGCCTCGCACTTTTTGCTTCAATAAAATAGGAAGTTGAATGCCAAGCACTGGCTTTTGTAGTTAATCCTGTTAGTTGTAGCAGTGGGTTGTAAAATGGGCAGATTCTTTTTGGCTTAAAAAGCTGTAATGCTTTTTGTCTTCATAGCTTAATTTTCTGCCCATAATCTGGTTAGAGCTGGATGTGAATGAGGTAATTTCCTGTGCTCAACTGGGAGTTTGCCATGTACCAGCAGCGCTTCTCCCTGGGTCTTGCTGCCCTGAGGTCCTGCTCTTCATCTTTGGGGGTTTCACCATCTTTTGTCATTGTGTGATGGCCCTTTCTGCATGCAGCAGTGGCAGCTGCAGCTGTGGGACCCCAGGCCAGTTAGCATACTCTTGCAACAGCTCTCTTTTAGTGGCCATCCTGCAGCTCTGGCCAGTGAGGTGCTGAAATATGGCCTTGAATAAACCTTGAGTAAGACTTGTGGGCCCTCCAGCAGCTAGGAGAGCTTGTCCTGGTGAAGGAAAAGACATGTCTATTAGAAAAGCTGCTCAAAGCTGGAGGCTCAGGTCTGCTATGTCTGACAGTGGAGTCAGCAGGGGTCTGTTGGCTCCTGCAGCAGCCAGCGTCTGTTCATCAGGAGTAGTTTCAGGGGCTGTGTGAAGCAAGAGAAGCCTGTTGAGGCCTCCAACTCCTGCTGCCAGGGCAAGAGCTGCTATATCCTGACTAATTAAGTTCTTGTTAGGGTTTTGGCCAGTCTGCTGGTCGCTGTGACTGCAGCCAAAGCAAGCTCAGCTTGGCTTTGTCTGCCCAAGCAGGCTTTTGTGGGCTACCCAGCCTGGGTCACTGCACAGCCGCATCTCCCTGTCCCGGTTGCCATGGAGTCTTTAAAGAAAATGAAGTGTAGCTGAGGCTGAGCTGGTATAAAGCAGGGCATTCCCTAGTGCTGTCTGGCTGCCCGCCTGGCCCTGTGGGTCGCCTGTGCCTTGTAAACCCCTTGTCCTGATCACTGTGATTGCATCTTGTGTGGAGGCCTCTGTGGATGCTGCAAGCTGCTTGCACTGATTTGTCTTTGTTCTTCTGACCTTTTGTTCTCTATAACATGGCCAGGCAGTGGGGAAACACGTGGCTTTTGTCAGCTGAAGGCCCTTCCCCTCTCTGTGCTCCCTTCCCTGGCTGCTCAGGTGGAAGTGCTTCCTTTATCCCACCTGCCACCGCTTTTTAGGGAGAAATTCTTTGGAATAAGGATTGTCCTGTATGAGGCACTCCAGCATTGCTATTTACAGTAGCCGAAAGCCTGTGGTGTCCCCCTTGTTGTGGGTGCTGGTGTGTGCACCCTTTGGAGCTGCTTTGGGGTGACGGATGGGGTGGGAGGAGAGGAAGGGTGATGGCTTTGCAAGGGCAGCATTAGGAGACCAGCCTGGGCACATGTTTTATTCCCAGAGGTGATCTGTACAGCTATATCTGCTCTCATTGCTTGGAAAAAATGCTGTTGTAGCACAGAGAACAGATTAAGACACCAAATTTTCATCTTTCACTGGCAGATTTTGTCCTCACCAGCTTCCCAGCAGCTGCTCTTGACTTGTGTGGAATTGAATTATACTCACACCTTTAATGCAAAGGTGAAGCCTTGGGAAACTGCAGAGCCAAACACTTCACCCCACTCAGCCTAAGCAGCCTGACAGGCCTGGGCTTTGCTTTTTACCCTGCTGATAAGGGGTAGAAAAGGGTTTTTCCTTTTGCTGTGTGCCCCTGTTTTGTGGCTGCAGTCTCCCTGTATGGCAGTCTCTCTCATGCTGTAGCAGTGAGGACTGGGGAGAGATCTGCAGTGACAGCTCTCCCCGCTGTGGCACACCAGCCCCAAGGAAATGCTCAACCGTTTCTCCTACATGCTCTGAAGTTCTCAGAGGGTCAGGATGGGGGAAGGCTGCCAGCACCTTCCATGGATCACTGGGCTTTGCAGAGCTGGGCGGGAGCAGAGAGGCTTCTTCCAAAGGTCCCTCGGAGAAGGGTGTTAGAGAGCAGCATGGTCTGAGATGCTGTTAAGAGTTTCACTGTGCGTCTGGCTGCAAGACGGGAGAAGTTTCTAAACAGCCATTGATCTATTGATTTAGGAGGCATTAGGGCCTTAAATTAAAGGCATATTTTTCCTTTTGCTAAATTGATTTTTGCTTCCATTCATTTTTTATGAGCTTTGAGCCTCCTTCCAGGCTCCCCTCTTCAATATTCCATAAAATTTCTTGCTATACATCTAACAGTTGAAATCATGTTATTTACATATTCCTCCTTTGTTTTAACGGTCCATTCCTTATTGTCTGGTATTTATTCCCAAGGGGGAAGCTGTTTCTCCCTGAACTGCAGGAGTCTTGGATTAGGAATCTGAGAGTCTTGGATTAGTCTCTGTTGCTTTACAGAAACACAGAGCCCAGTGCTGCCAGCCAGCAAATTTGGTGTGTGTGTGTGTTACCTCAGGCAGGTTCTGAGCCCATCATCCTTTGGTTCATAGCTTTCCCCCTTCTCTCTCCTCTTAGTTGTGAGGTTGTGCTTGACATGAGGCTGGACCAAAGTCCCCCAGCCGTTCCTGACCTGTGCAGGAATCTCTGGGGCCAGGTGCTGTGTGCATACTGATTCCAGGCACTGGGTTTTGAACACCTCCTTCACATTTTACCTACTGACCTTTACAGCCAGGCATTTGAGCTGAACTTTCCATTTGCACTGCTCAGGGCACAAAGGGCCGTAGCACACATCCTCTTGCTGCTCTAAATGCTAAATGGGGTTGATTCTTGGCATTATTCATTGAGCAGCGGGGCTCTGTTGTTCTTGATTGTATCTCAGCACAGATGGTATGTAAGTTTTCCGTAACCTGTGTTTTTCTATGTTCTTAGGAGCTACAATACTCATTTTGAAGCTTTATAGAAAAGGCTGATTCTGGGAAGTGCTCAGCCCTTCCAGGAACACGGTCTTTTATATTCTCCCAGCCTGGCAATTGGAACTCATTAATGACTAGAAACTGCTGCTGTTGTTTCTGTTGCATTAGCACACACACGTGGTGGTCACGGACCTGCAGCGTGCTGTGCAGGGGCAGAGCATGGATGTGTGCAGAAGCAGAGCACAGATATGTTGGCCATCTGCTGAGGGACTTTTGAACCTTTTGTTCTTAAAATAGAAACAAGGCTGAAAACCATCTTGTGCGGGTATTTGTGACAGCAGCCTGTAGATTGTTTCTCAAAGTGATACAGCCCTAAGGCTTGCTTATTATTGCAGGCGTGTTTTGTTAGGTTCCTGAGTGCCTGTTCCACATTTTGAAATAGGATTTCACTGAAAAATACAGTGGGTTCTATCAGGAAAAGGCAGTGAGGCATTCCCAGCTCAGCTGCTTTTAGCCTCTTGTTTTGTTGTCCCAGGTGTCTTATCATACAGGCTCTGGACTTTCCCATGTGGCTGTTACTAGTATCTTGCTTTGCCAGGAGTTGTCACAATGTTGTAACTCTTGCCACACAAGGAAGCATTGCTCAGCACAGCGGTGGAGCCAGGTCTCAGGCTTTAGGTTGATGTTACCCTCTAGTGGCCTCCCGAGATGCAGTGAAATTGGGAAGTGACTGCACCAAAGACTCAGTGCCTTGATAGCTTCAGGGTGTATTGGGGCAGGGAGGAAAGCAGAGCTATTGCTTGTCATGGAGGCTTTTTAAACTGACAGTTGCCCAGATCTATATCTGGAAGGACTGGCTCCTCACTTGGTTAGTGTATCAGACTGGAGCAGGTTATTCCTGCTTTCCTTGACCACCTTACTGTGAAATCCGAAAGCCTTCAGATGCCCTCCTGCTCTGGGCTTCGCTCCAGTGCTGAGGTGACATGTCTGCTGACTCTTCCTTGCACAGTCAAGGTAAATCTTCAACCTAATGCCAGGGAATTTATCTGTAGTTCTAGGTATGATGACTGAGATACCCGGCAGGGACTGTGTGCTTAACCAAAGTGCACTTGGATGAGGATGATGACTCTACTTGTTGCCTGGGTGCTCCCAGGATCAGATAAGCATGCATTTATCTGCCTCCAAGACAAAAGCTCACAAGCAGGGCCTCTAGTAATCAGTAGGAAATAACTTCTGAGGCAAAAGCAGTGACTAGAAGATCCTTCAGCTGACCCTGTTGGTCTTTTATGTGCTGCTCAGTAATTACATCTCAAATCCATCCCTTTTTGCCTCTTAGCTTCTGGTCTCCAAACTAAGGTGGACATCCTTTTGTGCTAGCAAGTCCTGGTTAGCCTGCCCTACTCTTGTTTATAAGCTTCACAGTGATGATAGCCAACCCTCTCACATATCTTTTGCTCACTGCCACATGGCCTTGTTCCTGCTTCTCCTCCCATTTGTAGTTGCACCTGACTTGTGATTCGTCAGAAATCTAGCTCTTCCTGGGTATTTAGTTCAAATGGTGTTTTTAGTCCTGCCTGGCCTGCTCATTTTGTTGGCAAAGTGATGTGCCATTAGGTAGGACCTGCTTTGAAATGGCTGCATCCTTTCTAGGGAGTGTCAGCAAACACTTTCTACCTTTCAGCCACTTCTGCAAATCTAAACCACTATAAACTTGAGCAATTTCAGCTGCTGAGATGACTTGCTCATCAGTCTTGCACATGCCTCTGGCTGCTTTGTATTCCAGCTGGGGGAGCTTCTATACCTCCATCTTCCTGGAACCTTTGACTCTGTGTTTTATGGTCAGCAAATGCCCAAGGCATCCATGCATTAAAGGTGGCACATTGCAGAGGTGATACGGCTGAGTTTAACCAAGCCGTGGCTGTCTCACGAACTGGGTATCTGTGGCCCAAACACCTTGTGACTGAGCCCTAGCTTGGTGGCAGTGAAGTGGGTGTGCATTTCCCTCTGTTTGTGGGAATTGTGATGGGTTTGGGGACTGGAACTTGCATTCTTGGCTTCATACATGTGTGGGGAAGTCAAAGGGTGCCAGGCAGGGCTGCTAGCCTTAGTTTCTTCTTCTTTTCTCATCCCTCAGGTCAATGTAATGGCTGTAAGTATCTGTACCCGAGAGGCCTACCAGTCCATGAAAGAGAGAAACATTGATGATGGGCATATTATTAACATTAACAGGTATGCAAGGGGGGAATGTCAGATCAGCCACATGGGCTTTCTCCTGTCTCATAAAGAGGATTTAAGCAGCAGAGCTTTAATCTTGAAGTGAACTGGTGGTGCCCAGGGATGGATTTTCCAAGGATTGGGATGGTTGATTTTTCAAACTATTGGTTTTAACCTCTGCTGATCTAAATGCAAGAAAAAACAAACCAAGGGGAAAAGGATAATGCCAACCACTTGTGATGGTGCAAGGTTGAAGATTGAAACTTCTCGACCAGTTCCAGGAAACCATGTGGCGAGGAGCCTCTGGTGGTGTGCATTTCCTGCAGGAGCAGGGAATTCTTCATGTACCCACTGTGTCAGCCTCTCTTTCTGTGTTTGTTACAGTGGTTTGAATATTCTGTTGGTTTCTTCTTCATCCTCTGTTTGCCTTCACCTCTCAGCACTTACCTTTCTGCTCTCTCCCCAGCATGAATGGCCACAGTGTTGTGCCACAGTCAGTGGTGCATTTCTACAGTGCCACCAAATACGCAGTTACAGCCCTCACGGAGGGGCTGAGGCAAGAACTCAGAGAAGCAAAGACTCATATACGAGCTACAGTGAGTACCGTGGGCTCTCCTCGTCTCTCTTGCTTTTATGGGTGGTTGAAAGCTGGCAGGCTTTATGGGGCAGAGGTTTTTCCCTTTGGAAGACAGGCAAGGAAGTGTAAAACTGGGAATGTTCAAGTCTTGTGGCTATTTGTCGCTGGCCACCTCTCTTTCACAGGCAGAGAGTTTGGGGTGGAGAAAGCAGGGCAGCAATGAGCTGTATCAGGGAATGAGCTTTTTGGGTGCACAAAATGGGCAGTTGCTTGTTGGAGGGCAAGGGGAGCTCATGGCAGTCAGCTGGGCTGTTTGCTCTTGTTCACAGCTTGCATCTCAGGAGTGATGTGTGTCCAGAACTGAATTTGTATTGCAAGGTTTTCCATTATTTTCTCTGCTTCTCTGTCCCTGTGGGGCACAAAGAGGGAAGTACCTGCCACAACAACCACTGAGGCAAAACCTGTTCGCTGGGACTACTCCTTTAGTAAAAGGAGGGTGGGGAAGAAGAGCAATAGAAAGGGGGCTGGGTTTTGGTTTGCTTTTGCTTTTTCAGTGCTAAAAAGTGTTCTTTGTTTCTTTTTTTTTTCTTATTCTTTTACTGAAGGGGAATGACAAATCCTATTAGGATATGCTCTGCTTTTTTCCAGTGTATCTCCCCAGGACTGGTGGAAACAGGATTTGCTTTTAAACTTCATGACAATGACCCCGAGAGAGCTGCTGCAACCTACGAGAGCATTCGGGTAGGACATGGAGGAATGGAAACAGGGAAGTGGCTCTGATTATAATTTAGCAGTTTCCTGGCTGATAGCACAGGGAGCTGGCTCTTGCAGAACTTCTTCCTTACAGAGTGCCCAGTGCTTTCCAGGATGTTATCAGCATCCCCAGAGTCTCAGCACTCAAAGCTCAGATTTTGCACTGATATTTACATACTAGACTTTCATTTGGATTCAATTTTCAACTCCCTATATTGTTTTCCTTTTATTTGGGTGTCACTATAAATAAATATCAGTCAGCTCTGATGTTTTGCAGGCTGTGAGCTCTTTATTGATGAGGAGATACAATATGTAAACATGCCTGCACAAGAAGAGATGGGAGAGCCTGTTGTGCAGGTGGCTAGCACAGGATTCCTTATGCTTCCTTGGGCATTTTTGATAAGAGTGGCAATGCCTGACCTGGCAGAATTACTGTGCCAGTAAAACAAGAGTATTCACAGCAAATGGAGAATTATCAGCACCAGACATGTCCTTTGATAAATTTTCAATTAATTACTACTTTCCTGCTTGCTTGCATGTTTCTGACGTGCCCCAGTGACACTGTCGAAACTCGTTATTGATGTTAGGAAAGGAGTGATGTTGTGGTTCACTTTCTGAGGCGCCTTTTGACTGAGAATCTCTTTGGTGTCTTTGCAGTGTCTCAAAGCTGAAGATATGGCTAATGCTGTCATATATGTCCTCAGTGCTCCACCTCACGTACAGGTAGGCTGGTCTGGGTTGGAGGACTCTGGAGGATGCAGCAAAGGCTGCTCTGACTCTGGAGGACTGTGCAAGGCAATGTCAACGGGAGGGATAGCGTGCAATGCTTGTGCAGCTAAAGGGGTTTCCCAGCTGTGAAACAAGAAATAAGTGACCAGCTTTGGGCTGGAGGTAGGAACAGTGTCAAAGTTTAGTATACGTAAAAAGTTCCTATTGCAAAAGCAAACTTTGATCAGGAGAGGTTTAGGAGCCCCTCATGTGAACTCTGCTCCTTTGCAGCAAGACGTGGCTGTCTTGTCTTAACATTAAAAGTCCAGCCCGTGGCTGATCAGGCAGTACTTCTGCCTGGCCCCCTATGAGCAGGACTAAACTAAAAACTTGAGTTTGCAATTAGTGTTATCTTGAACCTTTTCTGCCCATATATTATGCTTTTATCCGTTCTGCTGAAGGCAGAGTAGTCACATTCACCTTCATTCCTTCCTAAATACTTCTGTTAAGCAATCTCATTTCTAGCCACAGGAACGTTCTTCATGTGCAGTTTGTCACTGTAGTGCTGCAGCATGGAAGTGCCCAGTGCAGGATATAAAATGAAACCTCAGTGCTCCAGTAAAATCCTATGTTGGTCTCTTCTAGATTGGAGATATACAGATGAGGCCCACAGAACAGATATCATAGCAGATGAAGAGGACTGTGAGCAGCACCGTGTATCCACTCCACTTCGAACCCTCTGGCAATTCAGGGTTCCATCAGCTGGCTGGCAACATTTTAATCAAGTACCAAGGATCATGTTTGAAGAATTGTTTTTCTCTCCCTCTCTCTGAGTTGGTGCTGGTGCTGAGCCAGTGTATGAAAAACGAGTAGTGGGTCTCTTTGTGCCCCACTCCTTTCTGACGCTGTTTTAAGAGTAAAATGTGTTTGCAAATAATGCAGGGAAGTGGTTTGTAGAAGATTATTGTCTCCAAGCTGGTTTATTCTTCCTTTTGCTTTCTTTATAAGGTTTGTTTCTTATTTGCTGATGCTGTGTCTGGACACAGGGGAAGTGGCACAAGGTGTTTGCCAGCTTCAGTGTGCTTAGGGTTTGAGATGTCATACATGAATCCATCTAATTTTGGGGTTTACTTTCATCAGATTGATTACTGATGGTAATGATGCATGTGGTATTTTCTACTTCTTACTCCACTGCCCTACACCCAATGTACAATCTCACCCTCCTCCCCAAGCTCTCCTTTCCCATTCACATGGATCATGCCTGCCGAGTTTGAGGAAGTATAAATGTGTGTGCTTGCTATTTCTCTTTCTTTCTAGGTAGGTAGGTAAATAGTTGGAGGACGAGCACCTGTACTTCTGCAGGTTAGAATGATAATCTAAGTGGTATAGTTACAGTAAGAGTGAGTTGTTTGGTAATTTAAATAAAAACTAAATGTGTGCTGTCTTGTGATCACCTCTATGCTTGGTATTATCTCCCAGCACTCTTCATGTTTCTGTATGTGATATTTGCATGCATTGACACTTTTCTGGAAATATTGATGGGTCTTAGAAAGATGTTTAAATGCTGGTTCTGTTTAAATGCTGGTGAGCTGGAAATGTTGAAAGTTTGCTTATATGCAGAGATACACACTTGGAGAGAGTGAGAGTGAAATGAACCATGCTGAAGCTGTCCAAAAGGAAAAGATTTGCCTGCAAAGCAGCAGGTGAAAGGTCTGGTTAAGATCTTGTGTTAGTTCTACACTGGTGCAGCCCCATTGTTTTGCTCTGGATTTATTCTAGCTTGAGGGAGAAGAGAGTCAGCCTCAAAGCTGATATGTGCAGAGCTGGAGGCCACTTGAGTTGTCTTAAGATTCTTGGAGTGTGGCAGAAGCACATCTGTGTGTAGTCCAACTCGCTGCAGAGGTATGGAGCTGTTAATGTGTGTGTTGCCTTAAGGTTGCAGACTTGCTCTTGCTGTCTCTGGACTTCCTGTAGTGTTTTGGAAGGCAAAGGTTGGTTTAGGTGGAGTAGGAATGGTCAGTTGATTGGAGTGGAGGATTGGGAGCCAGAGAAACTTGGGTTGGATTTGCTTACACCAGTGGGAGTTCATCTGTGTTCCACCACCATAAGGGAGACTAAAAATGGGCCACTAGAACATGAGTTTCAACTCCCTATATAGCCTTGGGCAAGTCACCTTACCTCTCTGCCTCAGTTTCCCCATCTGTAAAATGGGGATAATAATACTTGCCTACCTCACAGGGGTGTTGTGAGGACTCACAAACTTTTGTAAAGCACTTTGAATCTGAGAAGCGCTGTGTAAGTGCTGAGTGTTGAGATGAAGTATTATTATTAATGAAATCTCATGATACTTAGAATTCCTTGTGCCAAAGGTGAGCAACTGTAGGATACAAGGAGAAAACTGGTAACATTTACTTTGTAATGCCAAAACAAAGGCAGTTTGCCCCTTTTTTTCCTCTTTATAAATACATGCTCATGGTGTGTTCTGTTCATTCCTCCTCTTGTCACCAGTTTCTGCTGGCAAGTACTTGTAGCCTCATCTCTGGAGTTGGCCTTTTCATTTACTGTGAGTGAAATTTGTGCCCCATGAGGTCTTGGACGCCTGTAATGCACTGCCCATCTTCACCTTGCTGAGGTGGTGGCTTTGTGTTGGATTCTTTGCACAGAGCTGGGTTTCAGCCGTGGCATTGAATTAGATCATGTCCTGCAAGGAACAGCCAGCCCAGATCTGCACGCAGCCAGCAATCCCTTTTGCCAGCTGGAAAAGCTCTTCTGTCTCCAAGCCGCTGTGATCCTCCATTCAGAGGCATTTGGCTAAGGAAGGTTCAGTCCCTGCTGTGCTTTCTGTAACACCCCTGTGATGTTCAGCCAAACTTGATATGAAAACTGGTGTTTTCCATAGTGTCTCTTTTGCAGGAGCTTGTTGAAGTGCAGTAGATGTGCTGTGCAGTGTGTGCCATCTTTTTAAGAGAAGGTTATTGAACTGGGAGTTCAGAAAGAGTTGAGAAATTAGGAGATATATATTTCTGAGCAGAAAAGGAGCAAGGGTGTGGGATAGCACTGGTGAAACGTGTATTGATGGCTGCAACTATGTGCTGAGTTAAGCAGATGTTGAAATCCATGGCCGAGGAGGGACCTGACTTATCTTTCTGCTCTGTAAAAGAGGCTTTGGAGAGAATTGCTTAAGATGCAGGGCCTTGAGAAAGGGCCATTCTGGGTACTTGCTCCCTGCAAATACAAGCTGTCTGGAAGTTTGTTCTGTTCTTTTCCCTGAGAACATTGGTAACAGTTGCAAGTCTATAAAGTAACCTTGAAATGATATCCAGTATATTTTTCCATTTCAAATGTGGTTTTAGGGGTATAATCCCTGCTGCCCATTAACTTCCCACATGAAGCATGGCCCATGGAGGGGTTTGTCTGGCCACTCTGCCTCGTGAATGCGGTGCCACCTCCCTGGTGGGAGGGATTGGCAGCATAACTCCAAGGCATTTAAACCCCCAAACAGAAGGGTGAACTGTGTAATTTATCAGTAGGTTTCTCATTGTGAACTGTAAAATAAAGAATAAAAAGAGAGGCACACTGTGGTTCTCCTGTTGTGTATGTTGCAGTTCTTGTGCTATAACATCCTTTTTACTCTTCACAGCTAAACCTTTTGTGAAGAGTTCAGAGAGAAATGTGTGGGTTTAGTTCTTCATAGTTGTTTTCCAGAGCACAACAGCATCCAGTTGTCTCACTGATAACCTGTGGAGGTTGGATTTGCCCATCCTTGTTCCAATGAAGCCACTGAAATCCTCAGGTAGGCTGCTGGTATGGACCAGGTTGGATTAAATTATGCAAGGGATGAACTGCTCTTGCTTCTCAGACTTGGAGATTGAGTTATTTCAGTCTCTCCTTGAAGCAAAACAGGTTATTGTTTTGTTAACTGAAGGCATTTTTGTCTCCCAATCCCCTTTCAGCATGTCCAAGTGCAGAGCCACATTCCTGAGCTCAGGTTTGCAGTCACTGAAATCCACAGTTTTTGCCAGTAAGTCATGAGCAGCTGCATCAGCAAACGTTATCTGGCAGATTGGGATGAGGTGAGTAGTCTCAGCTCTCATTTTTGTGGGGAAGGAACCATGAGCACAGCTGGCCCTAGTAAGCAGCAGGAAAAACAAGATTTTACTTAAGATCTTTGAACCTGTAAAGGCAATTTCATGGTATTTTTTGAGGCCTGATGTAACTTAATGCTTCAGAGTAATGGTATGGAAAAGGAATGAAAAAAAAACTGTGGCTTCTCTCTGCAAAATCCTCCTGCAATCATATTGTGGCATGTCCCCCGTGGTCCGTGCAGGTATGTTTTCCCGTGGGACAAACCCTTGGAAGCCCTAAACCTGTTGCTGTGAATGAGCTGGTTCCTTGTTTGCCTGCCCCTTGTCTACCCATTTATGAAAAAAAGATGGATAGAAAATAGCACATAATTAGAAGAGCAGCATTTTGCTTTGGAGTTACAGGTCAGGAGTGAGCTGGGGAGCCGCAGGGCATGCTGGACACACTTGGAGCCCTTTCTCAATCTCCCCTCTTTTTCCCATTGTGGGTTTTACAGCCTCTCTGAGCACACCCCACCTTTGGGAATGGGGTCAGAGGGAAAACAGCTCTTTGCTGCCCTTGCTAATGGAATGACCTTGCTAATGCAATGGCTGTGGCGGGGAGCAGACACGCCGGTTCCCGGTGGATGCCGTGTGGACCGCCCGTCCGCTCCCTCCCACCGCCAGGCGGCGCTGCCGCGGCGGGCGGCTCACCCCGTCTCGGTGGTGCTATCATGTGCCCACCCGGAAGCGGTCCGGGGCTCTGCGGTGTCGGTGCTGCCGCCGCGGTCGGGGCTGGTCTGGGTGCCCTGCCCCGGTGCCCGTGGGTACCTGTCCCACGTGGAAGGGCCTTCGGGGCACCAATGGAGCTCACGGCCCGCGTGTGGAGGGCCGCGGGGCTGTCACCCGCTCACTGCGGCCTGTGGTGGAGGGGCCTGAGGGGCTGCTCGGCCAAAGGTGGGCCTGAGGCAGCACCGGGCCCTGTGGGAGGTGGCGGTCGGCTTCACCCTTCAGCCCTGCCTAGGGCTTGTCGAGCTTCCAGCACCTCCTCTGAGGGCCTGGCCCCGCAGAGCCAACCAAGACCAGGGCATAGATCCAAAGACAGAGGGGCCAGGCTGGCTGCCCCTGCAGCCGGGGAGCTGTGGAACTCGAGGGAAGGCAGCTTGTGGAAGGTGAGGAAGAGGATGGAGAGAAAGCCTCTGGTCATTGCAAGGACTAAAGGCTCCGAGATCTTGTTTGGGATCTCCCCGTGTTCCCTGGCCCTCTCTCAGTCGAGAAGGGACCTGTTCAGGTTGTTCCTCAAGCAGAGCAGTGGCTCCCGGCAGTTTCTTATGAGTGAGTTTGTCCTTCAGGCCACGGCCCGGGGAGTCCCTGTGCACTATGTCAACAGGAAGCAGCTGGATGCTCTTTGCAGAGGTCAGGTCCACCAAGGAGTTTGTTTGGAGGCCACTCCTCTCCGTTTCAAGAGTTTGGAGGAAGCTGAAAAGCCTGATTTGAGGGATGAAGAGAGCCTGAACCGGCAGCTTCTTTGGCTGGTGTTGGAGCAGATCCAGGATCCCATGAACCTGGGGGCACTGCTGCGCTCTGCGTACTTCTTGGGGGTGGACAGAGTGGTGACAAGCCGGAGGAACAGGTATGGGGCTGGTTGGTTGCTCCTTCAGCTCTTCTCTGTCTTTTCCTACTAGCTCTCAAAGAGGTTTCCAGCCTGCATTGCTCGACAGCTGCTTTAGAGGGCTTTCCAGGACTGAGCTGGAGCTGAATTTGGGCAGCTGCTGCTTTGTGCTGCACTCTGCAGGGAGGCTGTGGGATGTGGTGTTCCAGGCTGGAAAGGAACCTCCCTGGGCACCCTTTGTTGTAAGCCACTTTGTGTTTCAGTTGTCCATCGGTGCATAAAACTGCACCCTATTTCTTGGGTTAATTTCTGGGCCCTTCTATTCTCCATAGCAAAATACATCTACATAGTGAGCAAGATATCTAGTGGACTAGTTGGAATTGGGCTGCAGAAGGAAACAGAGAAACAAAAATTCTCCTGGATTTTTTTTTTTTTTTACTTTTATATGATGCTTTTCCTTTCTTTTTTCCCTTGCAGCTGCCCCCTGACTCCAACAGTGAGCAAAGCTAGCTCTGGAGCTATGGAAGTCCTCGATGTCTACAGCACCGATGATCTCCAGAGCTTTTTGAAGGTAGAGTGATCCACATTTTTTTCCCTTTCCTATGAAGAAACCTCAAGATATTTCACGTGTTGAACAGAGAGGCAGTACAGGAAAAGTATTTCCTATTTGCATGTGTTCCTGTTCTGCATTCCTCTCTGCTGCCGGTGGTCTGTGCTGTCGGATCACCTCTGACGGGTGTGCACAACCAACCCCATTCCAAACGGTGGGGAAACGGGTCCGAGTTGTGGGTGTTCTGGAAGATGGCGAGAGCAGGATAACGCTGTGTCTGCCTCCTGAGAGGCTGCGAGCTCGGTAAGACGAGGTCTTTGTCCCTTCCTCTCCGCGGGGGCCGAAGCTACCGCTGCTGCCTGCAGCAGCTCCTGCCTGGCTGTGTCGGAGGTTGCATTCCAGGGCCCAGGCACATGATGGCAGCATTGGGCAACCTTTGGACCAGCAGAGAGGAGAAACCAGTGCTGGTGTGAGCTGCTGGGAATGTTTTTGCCTGTTCCTATGTGATGAGATGAGAGAGGACCCTTTGCAGAACGTGCTGCAAAAGGAAAGGGAATGCATATGGGAAAACATGGGTCTGTGGCACTTTCAGGATGATGGTGAAATGAAAGCTACATCAAACGCATTGATATTCAGTTGAAACACCTGAAAGAATCACTTTGTGACTGTAAATCTTTAATTATTAACATATTGAACCATTGCAGCAGTTCATGTAATTGGGCCCACGTTCACTCCCCCAACCCTTGGCATTGCCTGGCTGGTGCAAATGTGATGTAATATAAAAGGTGCCAGTTTCAAAGGAAATGAAGCTGGCAAGAAACAGCAGCTCCTTCATTGTTAAAATGGATTTCCAAGACAAATAATAAAAGCTCTTTTTACTAAGGAGCAGGAGGGAAAGCTGCTTCTCTGGGTATGTGAGGCACTGAGTGCTCTGCCTTTTGTATGAGCTGAGTTTTGGCATCTGAGGTTACTTGCACTTGTGTTTGAAAACGTTACCATGGGCTTCTGATGGCTGAGCCTGCACTTGAGAACTTCCACTGCATTGCTCTGTGGATTAGCCTCATGGTATTTTATTTAACACTACTCTTTTTGTGTGCTTTCCTGGCAAAAAAACAAACCTTCCTAAAACTGTTTTATGGGGGAAAAAAAAGCTTTTTTTATTGCTGGAGAAAACAAATGTGTTTATATACATGGCTTAGTTTCTTTTTTTTTCTTTTTTCTTGAAAAGAAGGCAGGTTTTTAACATTTATTTCTCTTCTCTTTCTAGGCTAAAGCTGCAGAAGGCTGGGAAGTCCTGGGAACAGTCAGCAAGCCTGAGGATGCAGAGAATATCCCTGTCATCAGCTGCTCAGAATTTCAGTGGAATAAACCCGTTATTATAGTAATAGGTATTGCATTTCACTGAGCTTTGGGCTTGGTGGAAGTGCACGTGTGAGGAAGCAACAGGGGTCATGTTTCACTCCAAAGCTAGTTGTGGGTTTGTTGCATCACATCACACTTTGGTCTGGAAATGAAGAGCTGAGAAAGAAGTAATGGAATGATCTGGCTGCAAATGAAATAGGGAGCCAGAAGAACACGTTGCAGGAACAAACTAGTCTGTGTAGTTGAACAGGGAATTTAGCAGCTGCATGGGGTCTAGATGGCAGTTTTCAGTGGCAGGACAGGTCTGGGGCAGTGTAGCCACAGGCTATTGTTTTGCATTGTGTTCTGTGGTGCTTTTGGCCCTTTCCTATAATCTTGAACCTGGATTTTCTGTGTTGGCAAACCACAAACCTGAGTGAGAGACCCAGGAAGTGCATGTTTGCTTTTGCTGTGCTGAGGGCTAGAAGGACGAGCTGAGCCATGTCTTTGCTCTGTCATGTTTGCTCTTTAAAAATACAGGAATGTGTGCCTGTGCCCAGAAAGAAGCATGAGGAGCTGTTGCTGGGAATGGTCTGAACACAGAGTTGGGCTTTGTGGCATGGAGACCACCACAGAGACCAGTCAGTGGTGGCTTTGTACGCCTAGGAGAAGGCAACAGGAGCTGTTGGCTGCTGTGGTACCATCAGGAGGAGGTGTAACCTCCCTGCTAGACCTGTGTGCTGTTTTGTAGGCAGGGTTTGGGTTTGTGCAGCAGCGAAGGGGAATAGCAGCCTCGTGGCAGCTAGAGAAAGAAATTCACCCCAGAGTGCTGCTGTAGGCACCGTTGTGTTGCCATGCTGTAGCTCCCCTGCTTTGTGTCACCTGGCACAAGAGCTGCTTTGAGCTTTTACACTTGGAAATAGTGTCACACTGGCGATGAGCAATCGAGGGGCTGTAATCCTGCCCCGTGCTGGGGTTTTCTTGGCTCAGAAGAGATTCCTTTAATTAAAATGTTTATTGAACTCCTAGAAATACTGACAAGACAACGCTGCAAATCTGGCATCTCTGCAAGATGTGTGGAGCTATATTACAAAGGGAGCAGGGAGGCTGGCAGCGCTGCTGATGGACCACAAAGAAATGCATCCCAGAAATGATGACAACACCAGGAGAGAGGATGGGGGCAAGAGTGGCAGTGGTGTCATTACCTTGAGTTATGAGAGATTTCTCCAGGAAAAAGTCCAACTATCCTTTTGTCAGGGGAGATTGGAGGCTGATTGGTAGATGCATGAGGAGAGCCTCCTGGACCTTGCAGCGGTAATGATTTCAACTCTCTGCTGAGCACTAACTCTTGGCTGAAAAGAAAATTGAACATTACAGTCATCTGATGCTGAGGTTGTTGGAAGAAACATCCTACATCTGAATATGTAGCGTAGCTGCAGCAGAGATAATTCAGCTTGGTCATGAGCTCCCGAGCACTGCACAGATTGTCTTGTAAGTTAAGCATTTGCAGACTTGAATTCGCCCTCCTGGCACCTTGCTGGCTTGGCAGAGAGTGATTTGGACAGTCCAGCTTAATGTTGTCTGCACTGGAGTCATTGCTGAATGTGACAGGCAGGCTGGTTGCCTGAAAGACTGGGAGCTGTGTGTGAACAGGAGCAGATTGGGAGCACTTAAACGTCTGTGTAAGAAGAGCTTCTGGGTAATTTATTCTTACACCTTCAGTCTTTTGCTCAGGGTTTAAGGCTGTTTGTGGAATTGGTGGGTTTATCTTCTCGCTTCTACCTGGATTTGAACTTCCTGCACTGGGAGCTGCAGTTGTTACGCTGGTGTTAATTGTAAATGGGGCAGGAAACCTGGTTTATCATCTTGTCCAAGCTCGAGCTCTACTCTTTGAGGGCTGTCAGTGAAGGATAAAGCTAAGAGATGGGAGTCAAAGGTCTGAAGTGGGAAGTGGTTTTGTTCACCAGTATAAACTAGGATTTAATCTGATTCAGTCAATACTCCCTCATTTGTGTCACACTGGGCAAGTCTTTTTGCCCTGAATTTATGGTTCCTCATTATTTTAAGCAGCCAGAGCCATAAAAAGCTTTGTAAAAGCTGGAAGCAAAATTACTGTCTTTATTAGGAATTGTAAGACTCTTACCAGGGAGAGGAGAGGATGGCTCCAGGAGCCATCCCATCTCTGGCAATAGCTGCTGTCCCAGTTGGAGAGTCCCATGAGAGTGTGGTTTGAGAGGCTTATGAGGCAAATATGACAGTAAGTTGTAAAACTTTTCTGTGTTGAATCAGGAAAAAGTAGGATAATGTGTTTTCGTTTCTGGAAGCATCCCTGGAGAACCACAGTCTTAGCAGCAAAGAGGCAGGCCAGGCTGTGGAAAGCCTGGCTTCCATTCCTGTGTAACCCAGGCTTCTCCTGTGACCTTGGGTAACTCACCCAGGCTTTGCCTGCATTGCCTGCTTACAGCAGGAGGAAAATAGTGAGATTTTGGTTTTCTAGAGGTTCACTTTACCTCAGCCAAAGGATGCTCTTGCCTGCATGGCTTATTTCATGCAGGAAGGTGATGCAAGATGTGTTACCCAAAGCAGTCTTTTCCTTACCCAAAGTGCACCTTACTAGTTAAATCAGGGCAGCGTTAATGGGATACTGAGTCTGGGATACTAAGATTCCAGTCTGTGAAATGGGAATGACAACATCTTCCTGCTGTGTGTGGTCAGAGGGGTGTTGTGCAGATCAATACACAGGGATCTGCTGGGGAAGTGCTGTAAATAGGCACCAGAGTTTTGTGGCAACTTAGCCCAGAAGGGATTTTGTTTGCCTTATGGAGGAGTAAGTGGCATAGAAAGTGCTGCTAAAACTTCAGGTAAGTGTCTGTTTTAGGTGAGACAGCACTGGTCACACAGGCAGAGGTGCAGAAGCGCTTGGTTGGCAGCGTGTGCCCTGGCACTGCTGTCCCAGCACAAGTCTGGGCTTCAGCTGGGGCCAGGGGTGGGCTGTTGAAGGAAAGTGTTTGGCTTCCAACCTGCTGAGCCTCTTTGGTCAGAGGGTGAGCACAGAGCCTTTGGAATGAGCTGGTGTTCCTGCAGCCATGTAGCTGTCTGTGTAGCTCTAAATAATGAATGTGGAAGAATTCTTTGGGGAGCCGAGCAGGCTGGGAGGTCTGTGGTCTTCTGCATTCTCGCTTGTCTGTGTGCAGGATTGTTTAAAGCCTCTCCCTTTCCATTTCCCTTTGTGACAGTGTGAGTCAAACAACTATTAATGAGCTGGGATAGATTTCAACTCTGTTTCACCAGTGTATCAGCCCAAACATATCAGGGCTGTTGGATGGTTTAACAACTAATCAATTGAAGCCTCTGGTTAAACTGTCTGCATTCACAAGTTGCACCCAGGTGGTGGTACTGTGTGCTGAAAAGGCTGAACCCGTCACTATCAATAGGGATGTGGGATTTGCTGGACCAGATCAGACCCATGGCCTCTTGGCTGCCTCATCCTTTTGGCAGCAGCTCGTGTATTGTGGGCACAGTGGCTGCTTGCATTCAGGCTACAAGGGTCTGTGCTGTATGCTCTGCATGCAGGTGTGGTGCACTGGTATTGTTCAAAACCACTTCACATACTGGACAACAGATCTGGGGAGCTGGAGTGGGCCACGAAGGTGCCCCTCTCGCCTCTGGTGGTTCTTGGCTGTTGCTGCATGGGAGTTGGTGAGGTTGCTGGTGAACTTTGGGCCAAGGATGTACTTGTGACAGAGCATTAGTAAGGACTGTACTCGGGGGGGGGGGAGGGGGAAGGGATGTAGCAGCAGCCGTGAGCTGACCTGAGTGTCTTTCTGCTGCAGGTAGTGAAGGGGATGGGCTGTCCCTAGAGACACAGCTCCTGTGCCATCGGATGCTGGCCATACCCCCTGGCAGAGCCCTTCACCCTGGGATCGAATCACTGAATGTCTCTGTTGCTACTGGTAAGAACAGTTCCAAGCACAAAGGCATCACAGTACCATTTTCTGTATTTAAAAGTCAAACCTCCAGCCCTGCAGAATGATTCTCTTGTGGTTTAAAACATATCTTTATTTATTTACTTTGCTACAGGTATTCTCCTGCACTCCATCTGCAGCCAAAAGCTGAGGCACGGTGACTGAAATGTTCGATTCGGTGGTGGAAGCTGCTCGGTGCTCTGTTGGTGTGGATATGGAAGTGCCCTTTCCAGGGTCTTCGTCATTGCTGCAACTTTTACAAGGGAGAGACGTTGACTTGATCTCAGTTTGGCTGACACACGGTACCGCCAGAACCCTGCCTTAATGCTGCGTGTACTGGGTACCACCTCCCACCTGCACCTCGGAGGAGCAGCTGCAAGGAAGGGAGGCAGAGGTAGTTTTTTAAAGCAGACAGCCATATCCTTCAGTTCTTGCAGTAAAATTCGTGGTGATGGCTGAGACTTGTGCCTGTTGCGTGGAGGACTTTGTGCATTGGTTGTGCTGTGGAGAGAACTTGGGTTCTCGGTGAGAAACTGCTGCCTCCGAGAGTGCCCTGAGGCCACCACCCCTTAGCAGCCGAGAGGGTGCTGGTGAGAGCCAGGTATGATTTGGGACTACTCAGCAGTTTCCTCATGATGAGGTGGTTTCTCTGTTACCTGTTGGTGCTTGGATGTCTGTAAACAGGTCTGCAGCCCTGCCAAAAGATGGACATGAGCTGTTAGAAAACAGCTGTAGTGGGGAAAAAACACTGCCCATTGCAATAAAGCCTCCAAAAAGATTGGTTGTAGACTTGGATCAGTCCTTTTTGTGTCATACATAAATCCAGAGTGTGACTAGTGAAACAGCACTTCCTGCAGGTGGGAAGAGGAAATCGGGAATTCCTCTTCTTCCAGGGAACTTTCCTGTCCATGGCAGACCTGATCCTCCTGGGTGCTGGGCTGCCCCAGCACCACCATCCTGCTGAGCAGTGGGGTGAGGGTGCCTTCATTTGCAGATATCCTGGTTGAAGCCAGGCTGAATTACTGAGAACCAAATGAATGTTATCACTTAGCACCTTAATTATTTTATTTAGCTGCTGTGGCCCTTTGCATAGGATTCCTCATTAACACTTAATTTACAGTGCCCTTTAGGGATAATTTCAAACAATTCAGCTCAGTCTCCCCCTTCCCCCCTTCCAAATGAACAAGTAAATCACTCACAGTGACTAATTAGGACTTTCCTTTCAGCTAAATGAAGTCTATAAACCCGCCTGTGGATGTGGAGGTTTTTCACATGTCTCCCTCAGAACGCCTGGCCTTGGGGATGCCTCAGGTGCCTGGGGTAGGGATGAGACAGGACATGGAGCTCCTGAGAGGTGCTGAGTCTTCACTTGTGTGGTTGTGGCTCTGATGGAGAGGATGCCTGGCATGGGTGCCCATATCCTGAGCTGTGTCTGCCCCTTTGCCCCCTCCAAGGACAACCCCCAAATCCCTGTGAAATGACAGCAGTTGTGGCAAACAGGGCTGCTTTGTCCGAATCTGAAGGCAAGCTGGCCACTGAATAACAGTGGCATCACTGGGGTGACATCTCTTGCGTTTTGTGGCCTGAATTGTGCCTTTTCTTCCCTTTTCCCCTATTTTAATGCTGAAATAAATCACCCATGGGCCAGGGGGCTGCAGAGCAGCCTCGCTGCACAGCTCTCACCTTGGGTACCCCAGCAGAGGGTGCCCGTGGCTCAGATCTGCTCATTCTCAGAGGAAGGATTCCGCACTTGAGGCTGACTGAATCCTTCCTCTGGAGCAGCAGGGATGAGGATAAAGCCATTTCTGTATTCTTGACTTATAGGTAAGTATATACATTTCCAATTTCATAGGAACTGCTGTTTCTCCTTTTACTTTCTTTCTTATTTGAGCAGTACTTTAACAGAAGAGGCACTTTACTGGCATCGTGTGTGTTTGGGAAACACACTATTCTCAGCCACTCCAAATGAGGAGGCAGGTAAGTAACGATGGCGCAGCTATTTTACTTGTAGAAAGCTCCCAAAAACCTTTGAAACCTCAATGCCCACAGCAGTTCTCCCAACAGGGTGATGTGGTACATGGAAGTTCCCATTTGTCCATCGAACATTGCGACTCCCCTGCGGATTTCCTTGTGCAGCTGCTGTATCCATGGAGCACCTTGACTCGGCACTGGAGTATCAGGCAAGGATTACAGGCAGTTGCATAAGGCTTGGTTTTTGAGAGACAGGGATTTAAGCGTGTAACTAGGGCTGCAGCTCAGACTTCTTTGCTTGAGAGCTGCAATACAGGCTCTTGTGAGTGCAGTAATCCCACTCTGGGTGGCTCTGCTGTTCCCATGTAGCCTGTTTCCCTCAGTGGGAAGTTCTGCCCTCACTTTGTCTCACTGGGATCCCCCCTCTGGCCAGCTTTTGGGTGCATCTGCCATGGATGATGCTTTCTCCTGCTTCAGGCTGAAGCCTGTGAGGAGCACAGGGACCTCTGCGCACTCACACCTTTGGAGATGGAGCTTTGTGCTGTGTGACTTGCCCCATATCTAATAAATGCGAGCCATTAATTGGATCATTGCCCACTTCTCCAGTTAATTTCCTGGGTATTTTTAAATGTTAAAATGTAGTTTTTATAGTCTTTCATTATTTTTAGCCTTAAGCTTCCCTATAATCGTCCCTGTAATGTAACTGTAAAAACCTCCCAGCTTTGTATCATAAAAGGAGGACATTAATTGTCATTTCTTGTGTACATCAGCAAGATCAAAACATGCTTCCTGATTACTTCTGTGTGTACATACAGTCTCTTTGATATTTAGATATGAATAAAGTGTGCGTGTGTAATGTGAAAGTCAGCTCTTCCCTCCCTGCTGCTTGGCAGAGGCTTATTTACCAAATGGAGTTTAAAATGTAGTCAGTGCCCTTCCAAAATGATTTCTCAACGATGAGAGTGTCTCTGAGCACAGTGGCACAATATTTGCCCCCTTGGGTCAGAAGATGCGTGCAGAGCCTCGGCCTTTTAGTGCTCAGACAGGGGCAAGCACAAACCTTTTCATCTCCCCAAATCGCCTGGCTGCAAGAGAAACTCCTGCCCTGGGTTTTGCTTTAGTGCACAGATTAACAACACAGGGAGGAATCCCATCCCATCCAATCCATCGCTGGGTTGCAGTGAAGGATTCCTGAGGCTGGATTTGGGACAGGGAACACCTCTCCTTGCAGAGCTTGGAAGGGCTGAAGGGAATAACCTGGGGTGCTGCTGAGTGTAGGAGCCCACAGAGCCCCTTCCTCGCCGGTAGTGAGGAATCCTCTGCTGCGCCACAGCCCTACTCCCAGTTTGTAAATGTAATCAACCTCGAGGTCTTGTTACTTCCACAGGTGCAATTAACATCACCATCTGCTAATCCCTGATTAATGATGTTTACAAATATGCTACAACATGTTAAAATGTGCTGGCACTATTATTTCCATTCCCTTTTTCTCCTCTCCCTGTTCCGTTGCAGCTTTCCCGGCGACGGCTTCCGTGCATCCCACCCTTAGTGCGCAGACAGTTTGGTTTCCCTCTTTAAAAGCACTGCTCAACTCCAAACGAGCTGGGGGAATGAGTTCAAATCAGAAGGTCAGTGCTGCTAAATGGGATTTAATTGCACAGGGGTTGAGGTACCAACTGCTGAATCTGAAGAATGAAACTTTGTGGGGAGCAACACACGGTGCGGTTTAAAGTGTATTTTTATTGATCATCCCACAAGTGATGTGTTAATGGGAAGAGAGGCTTTGCTTTGGGTTTCATATCGATGTGGAGTTGTAATAATGTCACACAGGAATATTGTGGACGGGTTTATAATATGAGAGTCTGTTTTCTATTAACTGCTGCCTTTTCAACGGAGAGAGGAATACATTATAGCCCTACTGTATGTCCTCCAGAGCTAGGTTACATGTAATTGCTCAGTAATTGGTAGAACCATGTAAAAGCCATGGTATTTGCCAGTAAACCCTCCTAAGTTACCATGAAATTGAAGTGTGATATTTATTCTCTACAAAACTTGCTACCCAAATATCGTGTACGATCAGGTTTGGTGTCTCTGCAGTGGCTGTGCTGTGTGTAACGCCCACACAGCTCTGGATTTGCACTGATCTCTTTCATCCTAAGGGCTGGGGGGTTCTGACCAGGAGGTTCAGGGGTTATTTTGCTTCAAGGGAAGGTGCTTTAACCTCCCTTAGGCTTCAGGCTCAGGATTATTGCACTTATTTCAAGGCTCAACTCAAAATGATGGAGGTTTGGAGGTTGATGAAGGAGTTCGTGTGTTTTCAATGGAATAGTAATTACATGTATGATGGTTTCTGAAACCTTTGGAGATTAAGGAATTGTCAGTTCTCTGGGGGTGCATCTGCAGATCACCTGTATCTTAGCTTCAGCCTGGAGAATAGACCTTAGAGCAGCTCCAGTGCCTAAAGGGGCTACAGGAAACCTGGAGAGGGGCTTTGGGCAAGGCCTGTAGGGACAGGCCAAGGGGAATGGCTTTAACCTGCCAGAGGGGAGACTGAGATGAGCTCTTAGGCAGAAGCTCTTCCCTGTGAGGGTGCTGAGGTGCTGGCACAGGGTGCCCAGAGAAGCTGTGGCTGCCCCATCCCTGGCAGTGTTCAAGTCCAGGTTGGACACAGGGGCTTGGAGCAAGCTGCTCTAGTGGAAGGGGTCCCTGCCCGTGGCAGGGGTTGGATTGGAGCTGGAGAAGCTTTAAGTTCCCTTCAACCCAAACGATTCCATGATTCTTGTAAATTAGGATGTTCAGAACTGTCCCCAGCTTGGCAATTTCCATTATTTTCTTTGTTATTTTCTATTTTGCTGTATTTTGCTCATGTGTGAGGACCCCACGCTCATGAGCTTTTCCCTCTGATGGAGGTTTTTGCCCCCTCCTGCACCAGGGCTGGGTGTGTTCAGTGGTGACTCCTTATCACCCTCCATGTGGCTTTAAATACAGGCAGAAGTAACTGCCTTGCTTATGATCAATAGTTTTATATACTTTAAAATGTAACGACACGCTTTGAATTGATGCAGAGTTAAACCTGCCAATTTTGTTTCTCACTGGCCTGTTTTAGAAGCTGCAAACTCAGCAGTGCTTCCTATGCTTGGCAGGCTCAGCTGTTTTCTCTGGGAAGCTGAACATCCTGCATCCTGCACATCCCATGGATTCAGCCCTGACTCTACGGCTCCCTTTTCATGACCACGGAAGCTGCAGAGCTGCAGTTGGGTATAAATGTCCTTTCTTTTGTATATTTTAAAGCTGCCTTTGAGGGGTTTGTGAAGAAGATAAAACATCTGCCTGATCAGGTGGGTTCAGGCTCCTGGAGAGGTGTTGCCCAGGTGTGCCAGCACCTACCCTAAAGCTCATCCAGTTCCAACCCCCTGCCATGGGCAGGGACACCTTCCACTAGAGCAGCTTGCTCCAAGCCCCTGTGTCCAACCTGGCCTTGAACACTGCCAGGGATAGGGAAGCCACAGCTTCTCTGGGCACCCCGTTCCAGTATGCCTTTTCCTCTGTACTTTGGGGCTGGGTCTTTTGGTACTGACTTGGGATTGGGAGTGGGAACAGGAGTGAGCGGGTCCTGGCGCGAGAACAAGTAAGGGATGTGAAGCGATGCTGCAGGTGGTGCAGGATGGGGTTGTCCCACCAGCATGCTTCAATCAATGTGTGGGCATAGCATCATACATGAAATATATATATGCCATGGAATTACAGCAAGGAGAGTTTCCCTTTTGCATTTGGGATAATTCCTGGCACATGAGCTCCTTCCTATGAGATTGGGTGAATCAGGCAGTTTTGCAACCCCATCCCTCCCCACTGAGTCTGGAGCAAGTTGGTGCCATAAACCCACCTCGGGCACAGGGTATTCACAAGTAGGGAGCAGAGTAAGAGCAAGGGGGATGCAGGAATGATGCTGAGGGCTTGTGTCACCCAGCAGAATAGATGGGGGGGGGGGTGTCTGACGGTGCCTTCTCAGCTTTGCCAACCCTCATTAGCACCTCTCAGCAGAGCAGAGCTTATTCAAACTGTATCACAGGGCTTTTGCTGGAGATTGCATCTGTGCCTAATATGCATTTTTATATAAACAAGGGTACTAAATGGCCTTTCAGTTCCCTCTGTAATGTCTTTTTTAATGGAAGGTCCTGAATTAAGAACATATATGACTCTAAGAATTTTCTAAGTGATATTGAAAACCTATTGTAAAGTAGGATTTCTCCTTGCAAAATTATTTTAATGAGGTTCCAGTTTATTTTCTGGCTATATTTTACTTACTTAATCCTCCAGAGGGGCTTTTCAGAGGCAGCATCTCATTTTCAATGCAACTATTCTTAACATTAGGGAAAACTACCTTTCTGAAATGCATGAAGGGGAGGGGAGAAAAAAAGGAAGAACCAGGGGAAGATGTACGAGATAAGAATAAGCTTGAAAAGCTTTGAGGTGGTTTATGGCTTCTCTTGAAAGAATAACAGTTCATGTATTTTTGTTATGGTGGGGTTTAATGATGCTTGCAGAAAAAAGATAAGGTAGAAATGGAAATATAAAATTAAACCAGCAAAGTGGATGTGATTATTTTAGTTACTAGTATTACCTGGGGAGAACGCTCCCGGCGTTGCTTATCTACACTAAATATTTGCTTTTCTAACAGGGAAGGCCCTCTGCATCGTCTGGAGTGAGGAGAGGAAGCAGCATCTGCCTGTGGTCCAGCACCTCTGAGAGGATGGAGACATCACTGGCTGCCCCCGTGGTGGGTTCATCCCATTGCATGGGGCTGTTTCTGCCGGGGTTGTGCTGGGTGCCACGATGGGGAGATGATCCCTGAGGGGCTTCACAGCCTTGTGTCTGTGGGGGGAGCAAGAGGAAGGCACAGTGGGACCTGGTTCCCAGTGTCTGTGCCTGTTCTGGAGATGCTTCCTCCAGTAGGATCCAGGCACAGCTGATCCCCAGGGTGGTCTTGGGTTGGAAGGGACCTTACAGCTCATCCAGTTCCAACCCCCTGCCATGGGCAGGGACACCTTCCATTAGAGCAGTTTGCTCCAAGCCCCTGTGTCCAACCTGGCCTTGAACACTGCCAGGGATGGGGCAGGCACAGCTTCTCTGGGCACCCTGTGCCAGTGCCTCAGCACTCCCATAGGGAAGAGCTTCTGCCTTATATCCAACCTGAATCTCCCCTGTTCCCATCCCTCCCCTCTCATTTCCCTCCATCCATTCCTGGCATGCGGACACCCTATAGCAATACATTAAAGGGCCATAATTCCACCCTGTTCCAAGAGCTTTTGCCTTTGGCCAGCTCCACACGTTTCCAGCCTGAGCTGAGCCGGTGTGGATCATACAGTTTGATGGGGACTTGACAGCATCAGCCACATCTCAACTCATCTGCAACAGGCACGGCCCCTGAGCATCCTGCTGCTGCCATTGGGTCACGAGAGGTAAACCCGCTGATGAATTAAGCCTGACATGTGGCCTTGAGCCTCTCTGGGTAGTTAATTTTTCAATTTCTTTCGTGGATCTGGGCTAGTGAAGTTTGTTTATAATTAAAGTACTTGGAGATTTATACTTTAGCTCAAAGAGCTGAAAAGAAGCAGTTTCTATGTAGGTTTCTTCCCTATCAGAATCTAAACCAGATTATTATGTAAATTCTTTTCGATCCTAAATTCATTATAAAGTTCAATTTCAGGAAATGCTCTTGACCATCTGCTGCTGCTTGAAGAAATGAGTCTTGGAGATTGTTTAGTACCAGAAATATTGTAGGTATTTAGGGTAGATCACAGTGGAGCGTGAGGGCAATGTACTGATTCCTCAGCCTGGTTATATAAAGCTGTAGTGCTGATGCCACGAGCTGAGTTGGGAAGTGCATCCACAACAGCAGCTTCTGCTCTGTCACCATCCTGGTTCATCCTGGCTCACTGTGTTGTGCCAACCCCTTCCCATCCACACTGATGTCTCATAGGGAGGAGCGCGAATTCATTCCTGCTCTGCAAGAAAGCTGGAGAGGGGCTTTGGCCAAGGGCCTGTAGGGACAGGCCAAGGGGAATGGCTTTAACCTGCCAGAGGGGAGACTGAGATGAGCTCTTAGGCAGAAGCTCTTCCCTGTGAGGGTGCTGAGGCGCTGGCACAGGGTGCCCAGAGAAGCTGTGGCTGCCCCATCCCTGGCAGTGTTCAAGGCCAGGTTGGACACAGGGGCTTGGAGCAAGCTGCTCTAGTGGAAGGTGTCCCTGCCCATGGCAGGGGTTGGAGCTGGATGAGCTTTAAGGTCCCTTCCAACACAAACCAGTCTGGGATTCTATAATGAATGAATTGGTTTGAGATCCCTGGCATGAAAAACACCATGGAAACACGATTTGCTATGTATTGTAACCTCCAAACTTGCTGTGTCCTGATCCCCAGTGAACTTTTGCTCTTGATTAGAGCAAGAGGAGATGAAGCCCTTGTCACCCCCACATGCACAGGGCTGGGGTCCAGCAGCACCACTGAGCTGTGCTGAACTTCAGTCTTCTCTCCAGTGTATTTTACTACCAAATCTTGTTCGTTATAAGTGGTGTCAGGTGCATCAGATGAAGCCCAAGAGCGGGGATACAGATGTGCTCACATCCTGAATGCTGCTCTTCCCCAGTTCCCAGCACTTGCTTTTGTGTTATTCATCCTCTCCAAGGCACTAAAAGATGTTTTTACCCCTCTGCTCCATCACATTTGTATGGGGGAGGGATGTATTCAATGTGGTTTCTTCTCTTCCACTGCAGCCTCACTCAACAAGTGCAGCACCCACGGGGCCAGCGGCTGCTGCTGCTATTGATCAGGACCGGGGCTGCCCTTCCCAGTGACTGTGCCCAGTATTGATGGATCGAACAGGGATGAGGCTGGGAAGCAACGGCTGCTGGCGGGAGCAGGAGGTGCCATGGTGGGGGTGTCCCCAGGGCTCGTGCTGAGCATCACCCCAGCATCATCCCAGCACAAGGGGATGCAGCCGCCCCAGGGTCAGGCTGGGGATGATGCTGCAAAGGGAATGTTCTTTAATACGGAATCATGTACAGTGCTTGGAAAGATGAACTGTAGTGGAATAGACTTGAGAAGGGCACTTGTGTCCATCTGGATGCCTTGTGTCTGCGTGCAGGGGCACCTATGAGTAGTAGCAGTATATTATATATATATACTGCTATTATAAGTGTCTATTATATATATGGCAGTGTGTGTTATAGGTCTAGAAGCTTCTATAGGCGTGTGTGCAAAGGGCTCACCACTACTCCCAGTGTAGTAACTCCAGAGCATTGCCTGAGGTTGGTGTTTTAGCAAACCCAGTTTCACCGCTGGCCTATTTGTACTACCACAGTGCGTAGGAAGCCGGGCGATACTAGTGTGGGTCTAGAGGATGGGGATGGTTCAGCAGCCCTTGGATAAATATCGGAGTGTGGAGTATGACGGAGAGGTTTTGTTGTTCCTGTTGTTCTTCATTCATGTACACGCTATGAAACCAGCGTTTTCTTATCTGGAGCTGTCCCAGGCTTCAGCATCCAGAGGCTGGTGATCACTAATCGCCTTATTTCCCCTCCTTCAGGGAAATTCTAACTCCTGTCCTCTGCCGCTGAGTAGATCTTTAAGCTGGTAATAACGTGAGACAGAGGGAAATTAACGGCCTCGTCCTGCTCTTCCCTGGCTGAAAACGGCGGAATTAAAGAATTATAAAGGTATAAATTTGCATTTAGATGATTTTTCCTCCCGATGAGGGGTTTGGTTTTAATGGGGGGGTGGTGAGGGAAGGTGTTGTGCCATCACCCTCCTGTCCGACCACTGCTTGCCGCTGACCCCGATGTGCTGGGATACCTCCACTGACCCATTCCCCCTTGAATGTCATCCCCGTTGGTGACACCCACAGAGAGGGGATGAGGAGAGCAGGCAGCCTTCCTCTGCCACCAAGTGCTGCTGCAGTGATGCTGTGTGGGTGCTGCACCCCATGTGCTTCACTGGGGATGTAAGTCCGGGATGGGGACACACACACAGAGTGGGACCAGGGCTGCAGTGGCCTTTGTCTGCCTGTGCCAAACAGATGTGAACAAACCCGAGTTCGATTTCCAAGACCGCCTGGGGAATATTGCAAACTAATTATAGCAAACAGAAGATGCTCTCCCCTCCTCTTGCAGTTTTTGATAAACATTGTCTCCTCTCCACAGCTGAGTATTTAATTAGTGTTGATTGTTGTTCGTGTGTTCAATAACCACTCATCAGGAGGGGGGTGTCCGCTGGGGCAGCGTGGCCTGGAGCACACAGGAGCCGAGGGTGTTCATAATTAAGGATGCAATTTATTTGAGTAAGTCATGTGCGCAGGGCCCTGTGTTTTAGGTTAATTTTCAAGGTTAAAGGGTAAAAGGAAAAACAGCTCATAACTTGGGAGGATGAGGAGGGAGGGTTGGAGCTCAACACTGTCATATAATCACAGAATGGGTTGGGTTGGAAGGGACCTTAAAGCTCATCCAGTTCCAACCCCCTGCTGCATGGAGTTGAACTCTCCAGCTCTGGAAAGGTTTGGTACAAAGGGAAAAGCAGTGGGTGCTTTTTCTGGGTGTGCTGGGCTGAAGGTCACCATCAGTTCAGGTTCATCAAACCACACCATGGTGTGTGGGAAGTGTTCTTCAGCCTCCTATTGGCCTGTTTGACCTAAGGAATAATGATGCACACCAAGATCCCTGTGTGCAGCCCACACCACGCTGGGCAGGGATTTGGCTTTGCTTCCCAAGCACTGTATGGATCACTCCCATTTAGGCAAGGAGAACTAAAACCTCCAGCAGGAACAAGTGTGGTTTTAAAGGCATGTATCAATGCTCTCTGGAGACATGGAATGAATTGGTACAAATGATCTCTCTTCTCATTTTCCAGTGACCATGCACCTGTGTCACTGCTTACACCAGTATATGGAGGGTGTCAGAGCATCTCTTCCAGAGGGACATGGAATTCCTTTTGCATGCTTTTAGAGATATCACTATCATAGTGTATGACTGGGCAGGACTCATCTGGGTCCCCCCAGCACCAGTGGGCAGGCATTGGGCACAACCCCTATCCTGCTGCCAGGATGGGTTTGTGCGCCAAATAGGGAAGCACCAGCTAAAAGAGTAAATAAGCAAATGCCCGTCTCCTCCCTGCATGGTTTCCCCTTTATTCCTTTCTGTGTTGATCCTGCCGTGCTCCTGACAGGGTGATGGAGCTGTCATGCTTTGGTGGCCACCGGCTCGTGATCCGGCACCTTTCCCTGCGCTTTAATCTCTCCTCTCTGCTCATGTGGGGAGTCTGTACCTAACCCCCAGCCAAACAAAACGTGAAGAAAAATCAAACCCAATTACAGCCCATTGATTTCCTTCCAAATTTGCTTCTAATACACTTTTTGACTACTCCTTGATTTAATTCATTTATTTCCCCCCCTCAGTTTTCCTTTCTCCTCTCCTTCCCTATCCACTCGCGCAGCAGCAGCCTCCTCCGGGGAAGCGAGCGGCAGCACTCCCTGTGCTGGATGTGCCGAGCCCCAGAGCACTTGGGAAATGCATAGACCAACGTGGGCTTTTTGGCTCTTAATAGGCAGTAGGGATGATCTGTGCGCTGAGCATCTTCCTAAGGGACAGGTAGGAACATACATTGCTTTTTCCCTTCCCTTCCTCCTCTTTGTAAGCCTGGCCGCTGTTCTCAGTGAGAGCATCGCTGTGGCAGGGGCTGTGGGCAGTGCTGCTGGGCATCAGCAGCTCCTACACCTTGCTGGGTGTCCAGGAGGGTGCCCCATGGGTTGTGTCCAGTCCTGGTGGGCTGGGGTGGGCAGTGGGGCTTGTGCTGGTCCCTGCCTCTGGCACTGATCAGTGTGAGCAGAGGTTTGGCTGTGGAGCAGCTCCTGTGTTGCCTGTACATGGATGGTGTGTCCTGGTACCCGGCATCGCTCCGGGGAGCCAGTGAGTGTGAGACCCCTGTGGGACACAGTGGCTGGAATGCTGGCACTGCAGGGCAGCCCCCATCCCGGCTCATCCCATCTCACCTTGGAGCTCCTTCTACAGTCCTAGTGCATTGGGCCATCACTTTGGATTTGGTCCCTTGCAGTGGGGTTCGGTGTAGGGACATGGCTGGGGTATGTTGGATATAGCAGGAGAGAGGCTCTGTGCTCAGATGGGGCTTTGAATTCTGTGATGATGGTGGGGAATGGCCCATGGTCAGCATTCCCCAGGTGCTGCTCCCTCCAAGCTGCCATGGCATGCAGGGACACCAGGTTAGCAAACAGGCGTGTGACCAGATGCAGGGCACCCACGTGTGTTGCAGCTGGATGTAACCCCAGCCTTGGTGACCCCTTTGCTGGGTGGCAGGGGAGGCTGGAGGTGCAGAGTCCTGCCAGGGAGCTGTGGGCAGTGAATCAAGGGTTAATGGTGGCTGGAGCTTTCTGTTGTACATCAATATATTGAATATCCTCTAATCTGGATCCGCGGGAACGGGGTGCGATCCATGTGGAGCAGCAGCCGTGTCTTGTCCTAAGGGTGCTGCAGGGTGGGAGGGCTGAGCGAGGCTGCCCTCGCTGTGGCAGTGGGATGGAGGGAGGTGAATCAGTCTCCTCCCTTTTCCCTGGGCATAACCTGACCCACCATTCACAATCGGGCTCTTGAAGATGTTCTCAGCCGTGAAAATGGAGACAAAAATCCCCGAAAGAACAATACCCTAAAAGCTGCCCCATCCCTTCCTTCTGCGGGGGATCCTAAGGCCGCATCCTGACCGCAGCCACCACTGCCACCTGTGCATGACCCCAGTGCCACGGAGATGCGAACCCCCATCCATGGCATCCCTGGAGATACCCGCTTCCAAGAGCCCAGCCAGATTTATAGCATAAGGAGATGTATTTAGGCCAAAGAGGGTTCAGTTGTGTTAATTATGAAAATCTAAAGATAATCTATATTTAATGTCAAATTTGTCTCAAATTTCCTAAGGAACGGGGAGAATAGATGCACGTGATGACATTTAAATGAAGAACAAGGTGCAATTAAGCTCCAAAATGTACAGTAGACTAATTGGGAGAGGATGACAAATATAGTTATCATCAGCAACTAATTAGGGACCTGCTTTAGTCTTCCCTGCTTGATTAATCTTGACTAGGTGCTAATAAGTTACTAGGCCCGTAAGTTGTGAGCAGGCTGTTTGTTGCTCCTCTGGTGTGGCAGGGAGGTGGGTTATGTTTGTGCTGAAGGGGGATATTCCTATTAAAGGGGGTGGTTTTATTAAGGGGGGATCATGGGTGAAGCCACGTGTTGGTGCTGGAAATATCCCCATTGTGATCATTTAGGCATGGTCCCGTGGTGAACTGAGCCTCGGAGCACAGAGGGAGGAGGATGAGGATGCCGGGAGCACTGCCTCAGCTCTGGTGACACATCCCTTGTCTCCCAGATTTACACTCTTATCTTTTTGCATTGAAAGGTAAGAATAATAGTAAAATGTTAATGCTGTACTCTACATATAATACTGTACATAAACGGATGACATGACATGGGAGACAGATAAATCACCGCTGTGTTCAGACAATAATCTGCCTGAGACAGAATAACACATGAGTTCTCCGAGCAGAGGAATGTGCTTGGGAAAACAGGGCTTTACAGCCCAAATCCTGGCTGGCTTTTACTCGTGCCTTTATTAGAGTTTGATTTTTAGGGAATTAGATGTACTTTTAAATATGCTGGGCCCTGCACTCAGCGCTACAGGAGCCTGGAAGTGCGCTCACAGGTAAGTGACTCACTGTGACTTGGTCCCGTTAGGACATCAAATGCATTTGCTAGAGCTGAGCTAAAATGGGGAGAAAAACGTGTTTCTGCCTGGAGAACACCTCGGGTCGCATCCCTGGCATGGTGAGTTTGTGGCGTTCCCTAGGGAAGCTGCAGCCCCATAAAGCTCCAGCTTCCCCTTGGGAAGGTGATGTGGGAAAATTGCCCCAGCTTGGCTCTGCGTGGCTGGGATGGACGTGGTTCTTCAACCATCCCACACCCATCCTGGGCTGTAGCTGTGCTGGAGAACATGAACATCAAGTGCTGGTCCTGCTTGTGGAGCACCATTCCCACATGGAGAACATCTGGTGGGTGCCATCCCATGAGCCTTGGCGCAGAGCAGCTGGGAAGGGGACGATGCTTCCACCCTTTCAACAGGGCACTTCTGCCAACTCCCCCTTGAAATCCCCAGGGGATTTCTCCAGCGAGGAGATGCCGCTGCTGGCTCGAAGCCTGTTTGTTCCCAAGGAACAATCCCAAGCGGTGGTGGCAGAGCAAAGCCATTACCGGCGAGGATGAACTTGGCTCAGTCTCCATGGCAACGCTGGCCGGGTCCCGGCGCTGCTCCATGCACACGAGTCCCGTTGACCTCACTTAGAATTATTACCTTTAGCCAAATAAAATAATTTGTGTTAATAAAGAGCCCGTTTCCTCTCGGCCTTCACGAGCCTTCCCCAGAAGGCAGAGTGACTCCTTAATTACACTTTTACTGCGGGGTGATTAATGCTCAATGTGTGATGCTCCGTTTAAATAAGTCGCTTATTAACACCTTTAATATGCTTTAATTTTCTTCCTTTCCCCCCGTTTCCCACCTCCCCTCTCCCAGGCTGGTGGTGGGAAGGGCTGCACAGCGCTAGGTGGAGCTCCGATGTTAGGGATGGGTGCCCAACCTGCACCCGTGGATGAGCCCTGGGGTCCTGCGGACCCCCTGAAGGACAAAGTGATGGGAAGCAAAATGGGAACCCCAAGGATGAGGGTCTTGAGTGAAGGGCAGCCATGGCATGTTGCAGGGCAGGATGTGGCCATGCTGGGTATGGAAACTCCCATCGTGGTCCAGCTCTGTCCTCTGTGGCTGCTGGAGATGGCCCATCCCACCCATGAGAGATGCAGATGGAGCAGGGCTGTCCTGAGGAACCTGCTGGGGCACAGCAGAGCACTGAGCACATGGCGGGGGGACACCCTTTTCTGGTCATTCCAAACAGGGTCTGTCTTTGGGATGGGTGATAGACGCCGCTGTGGTCCCTCCATCTGCCCAGACCAATGCCTGCATGGAGGGGGATGAGGAAGTCGTCACTGGCACTCATCAGTGCTTTCCCTTTGGATACTTGGAGGCAGGATCCAGGCACTTGCTGCCCCTGGCACCCTTTGGGCAGGACCATGGGAGGGTGAGAGAAGAGGGCAATGTTGAGGCCCTGCATGGCATTTTAAGGATCATTTTCCCTCCTGCTCATTGTGTGGTTGGTGCTTGGCTGGTGTTTCAGACAAGGCAGACGTCCCTGTTGCCATCTGAAATGGGTTGTTTCTTGTGATTGCAGCTCAATTTCTAAAGTTAAAAAGTCATTCTGGTTTATATCAGGTTTCTCTTTTAGAACTGTTTTTATTTGTGCAGCAACAGATGTTTATAAATACATGTTGTTATTTGTCACATAAGAGAGTGTATTAACAGGAGTAGTAGATTCCAGACTGCTTCACCTTACTGTGTGTGGGTTTATGAGGTGCCAAAACCTCCTCTTTCCAAATCTCACGTGTGATAATTTGCTTACAACTGGGTGAAATGTGAGGATGGCTCCGGCCAGGAGCACCTCCCAGAGCACCTACAGCCTCAGGGTGCAAACCAGGACATCCATCCGTGTTGGTTCCCAGCATGGGAACTCGATCAAGTAAATCAACATCTGGCATTGTTGTAGAGTTTGGAGATAACATCGGTGGTTTCTCCCTTTGCAGCCCTATGTGAAGACAGAGAAGGTGGCAGGAGATGCTGGCAGACACGAATGCAATGGGGGAGCCAGGGCTGTTAAGCCAAACTGTTCCCTGTGCAAAGGATGCCATGAGGGATGCTGCGAGGGATGTCACAAGGGATGCAGCAAACGATGCTATCGTGGATGCAGCAAAGGATGCTATGAAGGATGCTGCGAGGGATGCCACAAGGGATGCAGCAAACGATGCCATCATGGATGCTATGAAGGATGCTGTGAGGGAGGCAGCAGAGGATGTTGTTAAGGATACTGCAAGGGATGCTGCCTCCACGAGGCCACTGCTGCTCTCCTGCTGCTGCCAGCACAGGAGCTGAGTCGTGCTCTGGGCATCACGGCTCCTGGGGTGGCTTCACCCTTGCCCTGTTCAGGTCAGAGGTTCCCAGAGCTTTCCCCATCCCTGTGGGAGCAGGATCAGGCCCTGCATCCACACTGCTCTGTGTTACTGTGTGATCGATGCTGTCCGTCAGCACCGAGAGCTCCCGTGCACCTCTTTAAAGAACTCCATTTACTGCTACAATGAACACAGGCGGCTCGGCAGGGAGCGATGGAGCCGAGGGGGAGCCTCTTTATTTATACAGACAGCTAAAAAGGACAACCTCACAAGAGATGACATTTACCCAGCAGACAGGAGCTGCTTTCCCAGGTTGGGTTCCTCCTCCTTCACACCATCCATTTTGGATCTTGGAATTCCTGCCTGCCTTCCCGGTGCCAGAGCTGGGGTGGAAGAGTTGCTCCCTGCAGCCCTGGTGCCAAACACATCGATTCTGGGCTGAACTGTCCCAAAGTGCAGCTGATTCCCTCTCCCAACTGCCTTTCCCCTGGTTTCTTCTGGAAATGGGATTTATTATCCCTCTTATACAGTGGAATGTTGAAGGGAACTTGTTAAAGAGCTGCTGCTGCTGGGGGGGTGCTGAGACTCACTGCAGGGTTAAACAGAACTGCAGAGAAGCAAATGATTCCTGAATGAACCTATCCCTTAATTCATCAGTGAGAGCTCTGGAGGCAGTGCTCAGGTGCTTCCCAGGCATCATCTGGTGGAGCTTTCCCTTGGGAACCTCAGTTTTCCCATCCAGGTGCCAGGTAAGGATGGCTGCAGATTACCTGGAGTGCAGAGTTATCTCCTCGAGTTATTTCCTTTTCTACCCTCAGCTTGAGGACTTCCAAAGGGAATTGGAGGTTTGCTGTTGTCTCATCCCCTTGCTACTGATTCTGTTTTACTGGTTTCTCCTTCTCTTCTCATCTTCTTGGTTCAGGCTGGAGGGGACCCTGGGAATAATCTCTCATTAAATGATGCTAATAATTCTATTCATAGAAAATGCCTTGTAAAAGCCATAAAACCTCTGGTTTTCCCCTGCTCTGTCTTTCTTCTGGGGTGGGAGATGTTTGTTGCTTTGGTTTTAGTTTCTCTTCCCCTTTGAGGAGTTTGGAAAAGGGAGGAGCTTTGCTTGGGTTCAGTCTGTGGAGTCCCAAAGCTCTGGTTGAGGAATAGCTGATGGAAATCCTGAGCCTTCCACTCATTTCAGTGCTAAATTAGGCATTTTCTTCATTGTTCTTGCTGTTCACCACCTCTCCCACAGAAAGGCACCAAAGACCCCTCAGCCCCCTCCCCTGCACTTCACCATTTGGAGTTCATTACCTCGGAGGGCTGAGCTGTGCATCAACCAGCATTTCCTAATAGTCATCTATTTCAGGACTAATTCCCATCGAAAATGAGCTTTTATGGCATTAAATAAAACTTCAGGTAATTCTGAGAATAATATTTCTCTAATGTTCAGGACCTGGGGTAAGTCTACAGCCCAGTTGATGCTGTTTAATCAGCGTGAAGCTATAGATACGGCACTGGTGGGGTGTGCAGGTTACTCCTCCTTTCTCTTTATTTTCCAGCTTTGTACCTTTAGTATCACTTTGCTTGCAGATGGGTATTTTGCTCTGTCATTTCTGACCTAATGGCACTTGCTTTTGCTATGTTTCAGCTGATGAAGTTAAGCAGCAAATAAAGGGAAGTTCATCTTCATCATGTGATGGCAAGGAGCTGGTGGCCTCCTGCTGAGGAGATGGGCAGTAGCAGCAGGTACTGCCCCAGCCCTTTGAGGATGCATTTATAGAATCCCAGCCTGGTTTGGGCTGGAAAGGACCTTAAAGCTCATCCAGCTCCAACCCCTGCCACGGGCAGGGACCCCTTCCACTAGAGCAGCTTGCTCCAAGCCCTGTGTCCAGCCTGGCTTTGGACACTGCCAGGGATGAGGCAGCCACAGCTGTTCCAATGTGCTTTTTCCTCTGTATTTTCAAGCCTCCCCAGGCTTGAAAGTGTCCCCTCCCCTGTTCCATCACCAACTCCACCACATCCCAAACCCTACCTCACTTCCTCCGAGGTGCCAGCACACAGTGAAGCCTGCAGGGACAGGCAGCACCTCCCCTGCATGTTAAAAAACTCCCTTAAAACTTAACAGTGGCCAGTAATGAACCAGCAAAGGTTTATTGCCTATAAAGGATAAAATTAATGTAAGTTATCCTCATAAACTCTCCTGATTTGTGCTGGTCCTTCCTGTTCTCCCTGCGTGGCTCTGACAGCCTGCTCTGAACTGCTAATGGGGAGCTCTTAGGCCTTGCTGGAGCAGGCTAATTAGCAGGTACCAGCCTTGCTTTGGGTGCTGACAGAGCTCAGGATGCTGCTGTGGCCTCTTCCTCCCATGGCAAAGCAGAGGCACCAATTCCAATGTTCTTTAAGAGGCTTCCTTACTAGGACACAGTCTTTGGTTAGTAACAAGGTGGTTTTGCACTGTTGGTCCAGCCTGTGCTCCTGTTCCACCAACCATCTGCACTGGGAATAATTCCTCAATGGGGAAATAATTCCTCAGTGGGGGAAATCCCACCTCAGTTTTTCTCTAATGCTGTAGCTAAAACCAAAATGAGAAACTGCTAAAAAAGCACAGAAGACAAATGCATACAGCCATGTAGCACATGTACCTGTGACTTACAGCCAGTGTGGTTTTATGGGGGTTACTTATTTCCAGTTAATTGATGAGGTTTAAAGGGGGAGCTAAACTTTTAGCCAATATATAGGGGAAATGATATTAAATCCCCATATTAAAGCTCATCATTAACCTGTTTGGGTTTTATTGGGCTAATGGTGAACACAACAGGCTGTGAATGGGGTGTTTAATTATTTCAGTGAATATTCATCACGTACAGGACATTGAGAGTAAATAAAGGGAAGAAATTGCTTCACAGTGATTGGGAGGTTGATTAGCAAAGGTTTGTCTTTAAATTGAGTGAGCAAGAAGCAATACACCTGCACTGTAAACCCTCAGGTTTGCAGTTGCTACATACATACATATATATGCACACACACATATATATATATATATATATATAAAAGAAATAAATATATCCTTTACTAAGCAACTTATTAGGGTTATTTGTTTTCAATGTCAGATATTTAGGGAGTGGGTTAAATAAGACATCACACAGGCACAAAGTGGAGACCTGCCCAGCTACCTCCTGCAAGGGCTACCAAAGCTCTGATGGAAGTTCTTTGTCCTACATTGTGTGTAAGGGCTCGTGTATGTTTAACTGGAAGATGGATGTCCTACAGACAATAGGATTGGATGCCATAAAGGGACGTGTGACTTGTGATTTAAAAGACTTGGTAACTTGTAGAGTGATGGTCTAAAATGACTTGATTTTATAGCTAGTTTCTGCCATCTGAGTGATGCTGCATGTATTGGTTGTATTTATAACTTAATAGCTTTTCTCAATTTTATTAGACTTTTTATGATACTTGTGGCTTTATGGTACTTCATAATTTCTCTCAGATTCATTAAATCCCATTGAGGGAGGAGCTAATGGCAGGTGATGCATTCCCAGTGCCATGGAGCAGTCCATAACCCCCCAGCATCTCCTTGGCCTCCTCTGGACTCGCTCCAAGAGCTCCACGTCCCTCTTGTGTTGGGGGCCTCGGGGCTGAAAGAAGCAGCATCTGCTTAGGGTTTGTATCATACCAAAACAGCCCCGGGCCAAGCACAGGAGGGATGTTGGACATTGCCTGCAGGCCCCAGGAGTCCTGGGAGAGGAAGAATAATGTTTCTTGGGGTCATCAGTGTCTTTCAAAGGTGCCTTCCATCCATGGTGGGATTAGGATAATTTTCCTCTTCTTGAACCAGTTAAACCAGTTATTTCCTTCCATAACCATGAGCCAGCAGGAGGGAAATCTTGCATTTAAAACCAAGGGGCGTTTTGGCAGCTTGGGCTTTGGTATTGACAAAATTCGGTGCTCTGTTCACTGTAACCTTTCTGCTTTGGTAGATTCCTTGTACCAAAGGCAGCGTTTCTGTGTTTTAAGGGTGCTAAAGCCTCACCCTGCAGTTAGGCTGATGCCAGCCCTTCCCAGTGTGTGGTGGCATCTCGGTACCACCACGGGGATGGTTTGTATGGAAAAAACATCCCTGCAGCTTGTCAGCTTTGGCATTTCTGTGCTTGAAACTCACCCAAAAGGAAGCTGAGCTTAAGAAAACTTGGGCATGACCCAACAGTAATCCATAGTAACGTATTGATGGCTTCTTGGGGTGTTGCAGCTCTCCTGCAATGGCCTTTTCAGCCCTAAAATCATAGCCTCCAGGACAGACCCAGCAGCATCTCTTCTTCTATGGGCTTTTTTCCCCCTTTCTTTTTAAGAAAACAAAGGGAACCAACCTCGGAAGCCCCCAGACATCCCCATTTTTAACCAAAAATGTCATTTTTGTTAGTAGTACAATAGAGACCAAGCTGCAGGGCCCCAAGGGCAAGTGCCACAAATTCCCAGTGCCCCAGCCCGGGCTGTAATTGTCTCTGAAACAGCCCTCGTGTAGCAGAGCTGCTCCTCTTTAGAGGCAGATCAGGTCGCTTTAATGTATTCCCTGTGGAGTGGGAGCCCCCGGGATTATTCCTTTTGTATCGTTTAAAACAATTCAGTTCCCAATCCCACTTCCTGGAACATGGAAGAAGGTGGGGTTGAGTTCTCCAAGAAGCTCTGTGTCCCTATGGAGGGTGGTGGTTTGGGAGGGGGGACAGGGGTCCCCATCACCTTGCTTTCCTTTGCCTCTTTACGATCCCTGGAGATAAGGCTCTGCCTGGCTCGCCGCGGGTTCATTACCAGCTCTTGCTCGGAGGGGCTGCAATGCATTTATAATTTTTATTGTTATATCTTTTAATTTTATTTTGCTTTCCTTGCTGTCTTGCACAGGGGGAGATAGGAGCCCGTATTTATTACCGAGCAAACCATCTCCCTCCGCCAATGTATGTATCAGTTAATTTAATCTCCCCAGTTTTATTTAAACTGTTTTTCCTCCCTTTCTTCCCTTCCCTCCTCCCCTTCTCCCCCTCCTTTTCCTCCTCCTCTTGGTGCAAGGTGATCGGTTTGGGTTTTTTAACTGGGAACCGAAACTATCCCGGTGCCTTTTCGAGCGGCGCACTGAAAAGGCTTTCTCTGGTTGCTACGGCGTCGCTCTGCCTTTCACTGCTTGTGCCTGGGTGCCTCCCGTGGCCCCCGTCTGATTGACATTTACAAATTACCAAGCTGAGAGTGTTCAATCTTTGACCCGTGTGTTTCTATTCAGCAATGAGTGAGATTTGCAAGCATTTTGTCATATAATTACTGCAAATCCCTTGAAAATTTCCACAACAACGCCTGGATGAATGGTAATTTGTGCCGACAGCCGCCGGTGCCTTCACAATGCACCAAGATGCAAAACAGGCCCATTTTTTTTTTCTTTACCCTAAGATTTCTAAGGGGAGGGGGGAGAGGAAAGAAGGCAAAAGAAATGTTTTGCATGTGAGAGTGTTGTAAAATCTTTGGATTGTTGGATTTGTTTGCTTCTGTTGCCTGTATTTGTGCTGATTTTATTGTATTGACTGGATGCATTTTTTTTCCTCCCCTTCTACAGTTTTATTGTGTGTTGGTCATGTGCATCCATCACCCGCATTGTTCTCCAGGAAATTTATTCCACCTTTCAGCATGCTCTTGATAGGACTTATTGCATTACTAGTTAAGTGCTGAGATTTGCTACTACAAAGCTTTGAAACAGCCCCTTGTAATGTTTATTTGCCAGCCATGGCTGAGATCATATGTTTTCGTGGCACTTGGGGTCCAGCTGCAGCTCAGCAGCTGGCAGGGATGCACTGCTCAGGGTTTGGGCTTGTGGGATGGGTTGGGTACATCTCCAAAGTAGGCAGTGAATGGGAGAGCAGCAAAGACCAAGAAGGAGGTGGGTGTCCAACACCTGTTGAAATAATCATGGAATCATGGAATCATTTGTGTTGGAAGGGACCTTAAAGCTCCTCCAGCTCCAACCCCTGCCACGGGCAGGGACACCTTCCACTGGAGCAGCTTGCTCCAAGCCCCTGTGTCCAACCTGGCCTTGAACACTGCCAGGGATGGGGCAGCCACAGCTTCTCTGGGCACCCTGTGCCAGCGCCTCAGCACCCTCACAGGGAAGAGCTTCTGCCTAAGAGCTCATCTCAGTCTCCCCTCTGGCAGGTTAAAGCCATTCCCCTTGGCCTGTCCCTACATCCCTTGCCCAAAGCCCCTCTCCAGGTTTCTTGTAGCCCCTTTAGGCACTGGAGCTGCTCTAAGGTCTCCACAGAGCCTTCCTTACCTATAACTGTCTGTATGATAATGTTTTGATGGAGTTCAGTAAAGTATTTGCCTTTAAACAACACTTTCAGTTCATTCAAACCACCTTTTCAGAACTTCCCTACACTGATGCGTGTCTATATTTATATGTATATATATGTGTGTATATATATATATATTTCTCTGTATCTACAGTTGATGCTGCTGCATTGGGAGCCTTCCCAGGCTTTTTGCCTGACATGAGAATCATGATAGACGTTTTGTTGTGGTTAACACCAAACCAACCTTGCAAGAAGAATAAGAACCAAATCCTGTTTTGGTATTGCTTTTATTTGCTGCCTTCTGCTGCTGGCTGCGTTTCTGGGCCAGGGCAGAAACCTCTGTTTTTGGGGTTTATTTAACATGAGGGTGGTTGTGCTGCTGCTGGTGGCACCACATCAATGGGTTTTCTCGAGGGTACGAAACTGGATGTGTGTGCTGAGGAGAGCAGAGCTACGGGAGGGCTGATGGGGGTGAGCCCAGCCAAGGGCTCGGCTGGGTCTGCAGACCCATTGCTGGAGCAGGATGTTTCCCAAACGTGACCCAGTGCAGGAGCCCCACAGAAGGATGCTGGGGGTGAGGCTGGGTCGGCTGCTCAGGGTCAGCTCATCCTCCCCCAGCCAGTACTCATGGGGCGCATTTTGATACCTATGATGAAAACCCCCTTCCAAATCCCATGTATGATTATTCTTCCTGTGGTGTTCCCTCCGAGTCAGCCTCGACTGCACTGCAGTATTTTCCCTTTGCTGAGGAATTTCCTCCCTTGTCTTTGCAAGTGATTATCCCAAACCACAGCGAGCAGCACTAAACCACACACTTCAAGCTCTGGGAGCCGTAAGCGCAGGGATGCTTGCGCAAAACCAGGCTTGAATGGGTTTGGATGCGTTTTCTTTGGCCGCTTTTAAACGTGAACCAGGAGCAGGCTTCTAGGAGCTGAGCAATGGGGAAAAATAGGGTGGGGTGGGATGGGAAGAGAGTCGTGATATAACTCACAAGGTATTGTCCATGTGGAGCTGTGTTGCAGGAGCGTGGCGTGCAGCGGGTCAGCGTGACGGATCGCAGGCAGAGTTTGGTGACTGCAGCGTCTGAACAAACCACTCTTGTCATTAGGCTGGAAATGTAATCTCTGCAAAAGAAGGGGCTATGGTAGACTTAGCAAGATCTGTTCCTGTTATGGGAATTTAATGCACCTGGTAGAAACTAACTGCAGGTCATCAGGTTTTATTGGCACGGTGCAGACGTGCAGCGTGATGAACTGATGTGGCAAAACATTCCCAAAGAGCAAAAATAAATAACCCCACGTCGGGGTTTGTAGTGGGTGTCATTGAAATCAGAGCAAATGCTGCTCTTCAGACACTTGTCTCTTCATCCCTGGTAATTTCTGCTGCTGTGCTGCTGATGGAGATGGGCTTTGATAGAGGGTTCGCAGATAAATTTTGGTCTGACACATATCTCGAACTTGTGTAGTCACCTACTAATTTAAACCAATTTGCCCTGGGTGATGGGTGAATACACTTGAAAATTAAATGGGTCTGATTTAAGCAGCCCTTCTCTGAAGCCAAAAGATTATATAATTAAATTAAAAGAAAATGTGTTTTATAATAAACTGTATTTCCTCTTGGCAAAATCCAATTTTGAAACAAGATTGTAATATCATATCTAAAAATGTTTTCCCATGGGTATTACCAGTCTATTTCATTTAATTGTTTTCACCCATCATATTACGAGCTTCCCAAGTAGTGGAATGAGTGTGTTTTTCATGAAGAACAAGGGAGGAAATGGCAGGGAAAGGGAAGGCTGGCCCTTGAAGATGGGGTGGTTGCCTTGCAGCCTGCTCCAGGCTCCTGGTTCCTCACCCAGGGCGATGCTGTGGCTGGCACAGATTGAGTGTCACACGGTTAGAGCCTGATGGCCGTGAGGCTCTTTGGATGAACGTGGGTTCTGGGGAGCTGTGACCGGCCTTTGGTGTCTCAGGTTTTCAGTGTCCAGTGCAGGAAGGGGCTCAATGAGCTGTGCTGTAAAGATTCTGCACTTAAGCAGAAAATATTTAACACTTTGGGTACGAGCTGCTGGGAGCCTTCCTCCTGTTTATGCCAATACAAAGGGGTTTAGTAATGCTGGGGGGTCCCTGGGTGTGCCCCAGCATGAGGATGAGCAGGATCAGGCCCCCAGGGTGAGTGGGACCTGTTGTAGGACCAGCAGCACTTTGGAGTGGGATTCTGGTGGGTGCCACAGTCATCCCACCAAGTGCTCAAACCCCAGATGAGGGGAAGCTCCACATAACTACAGGGTAGGCTTCAAGTGAACCATGAGCCAATTCCACCCTTAATTAATCTGCTCATTGTCCTCTATATACATTCACCTGTTCATCTGTTGTTCCAGCAGGCAGAGAGCACCACGAGGGGAGACGGGCATCACTTTCAGTCTTGCACATCTGACGTGGCTGACAGCGATGCGAAGCCAAGGCAACAGCAGCTTCGATGCTCCTGATTCTGCTTGGATTTGGCAAACTTTGGCAGAACGCATCATCAGAACAGTAAGAAAAGCTGGGGGCGCAGGGGTGACCTTTGCTGTTCTGCTCCCACTGAACCCCATCAGTGCTGCCGGCTCTGCTCTGTGGAGGGGCTGGAGGAGCCGGGAGATGGGGCCAGAGAGCAGCAGCTCTGTGTCTCTGCTCCTTGCAGGTCCCTGCTGGACCCATTTATTTCCTAGATGGAATGGGCCTATTTATTATAAGCAGTGATACGTTAATCATGGGCAGAGGAGTCAGAAACCGGCCTGGTGATGATAAGCAAAAGTGTCTCTGCGTGAGAGCTCGGCATGAATCCTCCCCTGCTCTCACTGTGGAGGCAAACACCCTTCCACCACGGGAACAGCTCAGGTGTCCTCACCTCCCTCATCCCACATTATCTAATTCTCCATTAGAAAACCCCAAATCCGTTTTTATATTTGGTTTTTGGGGGGTGCGCCACCGTGTGTGGGGTCTTTCTCAGGGAGGAGCATCCCTGGGTACCTGCAGTGGGCAGGTTTCGGAGCAGCCATGGCAGCTTTGAACATCCCACCACCATGGGCAGGACCACAGGGTCCTTTCCTTCTGCATCTTTCCCCCATCAAGGTCCTTTCCTTCTGCATCTTCCCCCCCCCCCCCCCGCCCATCAAACAAATCAGCTTTTCCACTGTAAAAACTTCCCAGGACTCATTGGCTTTTTAATGCTGGGGGTTACACAGCCCCCAAAGCTCAGGGACCACACTGAATCAGTGCCAGCTGCTTGATGATATCCTGGGTGCCCCCCAAACTAAATCCACGTTCAGTAACACGGAAGGAGCTGTGCTGAGCAGGGGCTTCCTGGGGTCTGCAGCACTCGGTCGCCTCATTAAATCCTTCAGAGCCTTTATCAGGGACAAACCCGTCGACTTTCTGGGCAAACGTTGATTAAAGCAAGAGCGAGCAGGAGTTGAAAGGCTAATGTTATCAGTTTTAGCGCGCTGGGGTGGTGCTTGCCGGAGGTAAAACAATCCTGCAGCGGAGAGCGGTGATAAGTGATGCTGCGCCTGAGCCAGCCGGGCTGGATGAGGATGAGGATGTGGATGTGGGACCGGGGGGCATCGGAGGGGGAAGGACGAGGGCATTTAGATGGGAAGTGTTTTCCGCAGGCGTTCGGCTGCTGTCAGCCATTTTAGCTTCCTGAATCCTATTTCCCTGGTGCTTCCAAGAGAAGCTTTTTGGGGAGTCCCCAGCTAAAACTCACATTTGCATTTAAATGGAGCTTTTATTTTTGGTTTTAATGAGCAGGATGCATGGGAGACTTGGACTATTAGGTTTCCTTGTGGGAGAGAGTGTGGAATTCTCTCACCTTTTACACACCCCCCCCCATCCCCTTTAACGCGATGCTTGAAATTAGACATGAAAAAAAGGAATAGTGCGTCTTTAAGGGGAATATAATCATAAACAAATAAGTCTGGTTGCCCTTGCAGCAGAACTAATCTTCCCTCAGCTGAGCTGCGATATAGATCAGTAACAAGAGCCACGCGCAGGGGGTTCCTTTGAAATGCATAATACCTCCTCGTATAAATTGGAGTTGGTGTGATGGAGCTGTGAGATGACATATTGTGGCATGACCCCTCTCTACTGATTGTGGGTGAACCCTGCAAAGGTAAATCTAACACGGCGCACACATCAGACAATTTCATTTTCATCACCCAGGGACAAAAACATAGCAACAGAAGCTTTTCAAATGATAATCTGCATGCCAGGCGCAATAGTTCCCTGCCTCCTGCCGCCTTCTCCTCCTTTTTTTTGCATGCTCAATTCATGATGTAGGTGAAAGGAATTAGAAATTGCTTCCAAAGTTCATTCATTCCCTTCTTCTTCTTCCCTTTCTCTTCCTCCTTCTCCGTTTGCTTTTGTTCTCTCTTCCTCTCTCTCTTCCTCCCTTTCTCCTGCCTTTGTCTCCTCTTTTGCTTTTTTTTCTCGTTTTTATTTTTCACTCCTTTCCTTTTTTCCTTCTTTTTTTCCCCCCTTTTTCCTCTGCCCCCCCTTTTTCCTCTTCCCCCCCTTTTTCCTCTTCCCCCCCTTTTTCCTCTTCCCCCTTTTTCCTCTTCCCCCCTTTTTCCTCTTCCCCCCTTTTTCCTCTTCCCCCCCTTTTTCCTCTTCCCCCCCTTTTTCCTCTTCCCCCCCTTTTTCCTCTTCCCCCCCTTTTTCCTCTCCTCCCCCCTTTTTCCCCCTTCCCCCCCCCTTTTCCCCCTCTTCTTTCCCTTTTTTCCTCCTTCCTCTTTCTCCCTCTAAAAGTTTTGGCTGTAACTGATCCATTCTTCTCATCCCCTCAGGGACATTCCAGTAATAATGATTTATAGGAGCTGAAAAATCCACGCTCTTGCTGTTCCTAACCAATATCCCTCCTACCCTCCAAAAAGGGAGTTTTCTTGCAGAAGAGCTCTCCGTACGAAACCTTCTCCCCTGCTTCTCTCCACTACCCCCTTCGCCTTCCTGCACTTTTCCATTCAAGTATTAGGAGGAATCAGCCAGTTTGCATCATGCCAACCAGGAATACATCACCCTGCACCACCGTATCTCATCTAGGACTGGTTACAGTTGACTAAAATGATGCTCTAGTTGTTCTTTGTTCTTGTCTCTGGTGGGTTTGTGTTGGGCTCTAGTCTTTGGAGGCTGAGAATGGTTTAGGAAAATCCCCCTCACAAATCCAGGTGTGTTTGCAAACCAGGTGAAATGGGAATCGTCAGTGCCCATCCAAGCACTAGAGCTGATGGTGGCTTTGTCATCATGGTGGTGGCTCCGTGCCGGGGCTGAGCCCGTTGAGCTCCTGTGCAAGCAATTGTGTTCATTAATTCCTATGCTCATCAGCACTCTGGTAGTGCCTTGGGCTGGTTCTTTGTGGCTGTGATGCTCCAGACTGCCCTCTCCTCCATGTAGTAGCTACAAGGTGTTGGGGACATTTGATGTCTCTCATCTTTGCCCCATGGGATAATTGTGGGTGCAGGAGGAGCAGATTTGGGGTGGCACAGGGTGGGCACTCCAGAGCAGGGGTTATCCCTGGGTGTCCATCTGCCTTCCTGCACTGTGCGTTCCCATCTGCTTGGCTGCAGGACAGCCTTGGAGGGAACAGAGCAGGGACCCGGATGCTCAGTACCCACAGAGGTATGGCATGGCTTTGGGATAGCCCCATTCCTTGGCTGTGCCTCAGTTTCCCCATCAGTGTAGTATATCCCTGAGAGCTCTTCAATTGAATTTACAAAGTGATGTGAAAAGCTTAGTAACCTCAGAAGCCACAAGGTCTTACTCCTTGAGGAGGGGTTTTGCAGGCACATGGAGACACCAATCCCATTTGGAAAGGAAGAACAGACAAATCACATGGGATTTTTATGGTGAGCTTCACATCACCATGCTCGCAATTAAATAACCCCACCTTGGGTGGCACCGACGAGCATGGGGTGCAATGGGAAGGCTTAAATCTGCTCACAGGTAAGGGCCATCATGGGCCCCTAATCCCGTCACTGCCTCCTCCTCCTGACGCCGAGTGACACAGCTATTGTACACGTAAGGCAGTGACACAGAGATGAGTTTGTCGGTTCCACCTAGTGTGATTGCCATTTTCTCCTCACAGAGGAGAGGAGTGAAATTGAAGGAGAAAAGGTCAGAAAGCCCTGGTCATCCTCTCTCCTTCTCCCAAATCACTTGTTCCTCCGGATGGAAATGAGAAATGACAGGTTCCCGTGCCGCTTGGGATGCAGGCAGTCCCGAGTGAAACAAAAAGGAAAGCTGGTTGGAGCAGGGGTGGGTAGCAATGAATGTAGCCTGTTAATAATGCATTTCAGAGGCACGGGATCCTGGTTATTGTTCGTGGCATCTGCTAACGCCAAAGTGACAGTGACGAGTTCTTTGATTAGGAGGTCCCCACCACCTCCTCCCTCCTGGCCCTGCAGAAGGGGTTGTGGAAAGCACCACCCTTTGCCTAAAATCCCCACTGAATGCTTTGCATGGGGGGCACTTGGGGAAATGGCTCTTTTCTTGCCTTCTCTTTCCACTTTGGTGCAGAAATGTCTCAGCTCAGGATCAGGATAATCTCATCCTGAGAGTGCTTTTTTTTGCTGGTATTTGGGTTTCCTTCCCTCATTCCTCCCGCTTTGCTCAAAGGAACCACAGTGATGCTGTCCATCCTCCTCATGATTTCAGTGCAAGCTGGCACACCCCTTTTGAATCCCAGGTAATGACTGAAAGCAAACACAACCAGTGGCACTTCCTTGAGTAGCCACTGACCCTGCTTTGGGCCGCCTCTCCCAGGGGGGTGCTGGTGCACATGGAAACTCCTGGGAAACGGTAGCTGCACCCACAGCAGAGGATGCTTGGGTGGCGTGGGTCAAGGCAGCACTCGTGTCCTCCTGCCTACAAACCATCCTGCCCACTTCTTTGTGTACTTGTAACTCTTCCCCAGGTCCCCCCTGCAATATCTTTAATGGGCTGCATGGGATTTATTTTTTACTCTCTTTCTGTTTGTTGAAGAAAGAAACTTTTTGACAGGAAACATGGGGAGAGAAATCCTATCTTTTCCTGGGGGAAAAATAAGTGCCAGTTTTGTTCATCTCTATTTCTGTGTCAATGGGGTTCTTAAAAAGAGAGATTGTGCCTGAGGTCCCCATCTCAATAGACAAAAAGCCTCATGACTGACAGCATGAATTCAGTGATTTTACTGCATTCTGGGTAGGAGGAGGAAACACAGAAACAAGAGCAAGAGAAACACACGCTGCCCAGGTCGAAACTGTTTCCCAGCGCTGTGATTTTTCCTGAGAACTGAAATCAGCAGCATCTGGGCTGGGAGGATGTCAGCTGGCAGGGGGCAAGCTGGGCTGAAATACCCACAGATGTAAGCACTAAAACCTGTGTTATGGTTAGAAGCTCAGCATAATCAGCATCAAGCCAAGGGACAGGCTCTCCTTCCCCAGCGGTGTTGTTCAGACCTTCTTAGTGGGGTACCTGAGCTTGGGCAGGGTTGGGATTTGCTGCCTTGGCTCAGCCTCAGGTTGCTGGCTTCTGGGAGAGGCCATGGGATGGTTCTGCTCTGAGTTAATTTGCTCCTGCTGAATACTTGATGTCTCCCCTTTCTTTACACCAGATGTAGCGGCTGGAGGCGTCTTCTGTAGGTGTTTCTACCTGGTCTTCAGTAAAATGAAAGAAGCAACAGCAAATCCAGTTCAGATTGGATGTAAGAAAACCTCTTTCTAATTGATGGTGACCAAGCACTGGAAGAAGCACCTGAGGTGTGAGGGAATCTCCATCCTTGGACAGTTTAAAATTCATCTGAAGAAGGCCTTGAGCAAGCAGATGCTCCATGAAGGCAGTGGCTTTCTGCAGGAGCACAGTGAACCTCCTCCTTGCTTTCCTCATCTGCTCCCCCATCACCTGTCTGTGCAGATCCAGGTTTGGAAGGTGATTTACAGCTGCATCCTTTGGCAGAGTGCTCTGCTAATGCATAACTGTGCTACAGCCACTCATGGGAAGGCACTTTGGCTGCAGTGCAGATTTTGGGCTCTTGTGCACGCAGGATCTGCCACCCAGCACCTCCATGTGTTCATCATCCCCTTCACACATCAGCAGCACAGTCCTTTCCTTGCCAGCGAGGATGAATAAAGCCCATGGCCAAAGCTCTGTGCTTAGAGTGTTTGCTCCAGTGTGTTTTCCTCTTTGGGAACAGGATGGCTTCTAGGTGCCTTTATCCAATACCCAGGCTTGTTGGTGCTGGTTTCTTGACCAAAGCCAGGCTAAACTAAAGATAAGAAGCTGATGAGCTGCAGCACCAACCAGCAGTGAACGTGTCTGAGCTATCAAAGAGGTCTCCATGGCAAGTCTACTCCTCAGGCAGGAACTTTTCCAGCCACTGAGCTCTCCTTTCCCTGGGTGCTGCCATTTCCATGCTAAGCTGTACGGTTATAGATTTTAAGATAAGATGCTTTTGTTTCCCAGTTCTGAGTTACCATTTGAAACCGATATGACAGGCCTAAGGCTACTCTAGGAATTTGCTACAAGTTCCCATCTCACGCACGTGGTGCCAGTCAAACAGCCTCCCTCTGCCTCAGCCTATTTACTCGCTCAGGGATCTATTCTTAAAAGTTATTAGCAGATTACTGGTTTCTCTCAACCTCGGGCACCAATCTCCCAAAGATACCATTGTACTTTAATAAGGTGCATTTGATAATCCTCAGATAAAGGCATTGAAGTGGGGGGGGGAGAGGGAGCACCGATTCATCTAAGGGGCACAGGCTAGGGAAGGGTTAAATTACTCATGTTTCTAAATGGCTGAACTACTGTATGTTGTAGTTTTCAACTGCAAATCATCTTTAATAGCAGACATCACGGGATGGCTCATTACATTAAGCTATTTTTCATGCTATCTCCTGTAATATCCTTTAATCCAATGCGTTTCAAATCACCTCAGGCTAAAATAAGAGACATAGCGATGTAATAGCCTAGTGTATTAGTGGGTTAATTGCCCTGTTGTACTCTCTGGTAGATATCTCTGGAATGAGTTCTATATTAATTGTAAATTGCTTAATACATTTAACTCCTTGAGCAGCTTGGGCCTCTGCTATGTCTTTAATGAAGGGGAAAACTTCGGAGTTGTCAATAGTTGTTTTGTGGTGGGCAGCACTGCAGGGTGCCCCGGTCCTCCCCTGCCAGCACCGCGCATGTGCAGCAGCACCTCTGCACTGAAGGAGACTCAGCCCTGAGCTCTGAAGGGAAAATATTGCTGATTCCTGGCAGCAGCGAAGTTCTGGAAGCAAGCTGACAGAGAGCAGATGGAGATGGAGTATTAGGAAGAAGTTCTTCCCTGTGAGGGTGCCCAGAGAAGCTGTGGCTGCCCCATCCCCGGCAGTGTTCAAGGCCAGGTTGGACACGGGGGCTTGGAGCACCCTGCCCTAGTGGAAGGGGTCCCTGCCCATGGGTTGAACGTTAAGGTCCCTTCCAGGCCAAACCAGTCTGTGATTCTATGATGTCATTCTGCTCCAGTCCTGCAGAGCCTCACCTCGCTCAGAGGGTGGTCACCAGCCAGCTTCTAGATGAGGATCTGCAGAGGCAGCAGCACTGGGACTGCGGAGACACGGTACATCCCATTGTGGCCATCCCGACTGGACAATCAGAGATGCTGTGGAGTTAATAAAGAGAAGGATTAAATAATACATAAGATTTCAGGCTCATCTTGCCAGAGCTGTGGCCAGAAAGGGAAGATGAATGAAACCCTCTGCAGCTCTGTCAGAGGATGCAGCAGCAGCAGGTCACTCACATACAGCTCTCCAAGTATTGCCCATAATGTGCAGGAGCTAGTGTTCTCAAATGACTTCTGCAGCACCAGGCAGACCTGCCCACAGCTTTTCTAAAGACTGGAACCTAAGTGTCACCAGGCTACTGCAGGATAATGTCACTTATTTCTTTGGATTGCTCCCAGGTTGTGTCAGGGGGTGGAATAAGGAGCAGGCACAGCGGAGGTTGGAGGAGGCTCTATTATTTGCAGGTGAGACGTTCTTGACTCATCTGGGATATTGTGGTTTTTAAAAGCCCTGGCAATAATGTTAGTGTCGATTTAAAGGAAAGGCACAGAGCAGGAATGCTGGAAAACTCCTTTTCCTGAAGTGCCACCTATTGCTTAAAACCAGCAGCATCACGGTGGTGGTGGTGAGGAGACCACAGGTCAGTGGTCTGAGTTTAACCTGTGTGATAAAGAGCCCTGTCCACCTGCTCGACCTGACCTGACCTGTGCAGCTCAGCCCATTCCCCAGTGCAATGTGGCCGTGCCCTCAGGCTGGTTCTGTTACAGATGCCTTTTCTGCATCTTACATCTAAGATAAATATAATACTCGTAAAGATGCAATTCAGGAAGCCTTTTATAACACACTTAACTTTAAAAGCACTGGAACTTGAACATATGTTTAACAGAGCAGTGTTTTAATGCTCCTTTCAGCTGAAGCGTTTATGCTTTGGGTTTCAAATGGGGGGGGGTTAAATAGGGCTTTCCCACCCCAGCTTCCATGGGGAGCCCAAGCAAGGAGGCAAAGCAGGGTGCGTGTATGATTCCTGTGCTGGGGTGGGAACAGCAAGGCTGTCACCACACAAGCTTTCTGCACATGTTCCTGTCTGGGCTTCCATGCAGGCCTCAGAGGTGGGGATTCAGCATGGCTCCATCTGCAAGGAGAGATCTGAAGTCACTTGCCACCATCACATATAGCAGCTCAGAGCTTTAACTCTGGATTTTGGAAGCCACCCTGCACTGTCTCACCCCTGCACCATGCACAGTTCTGGTTGTTATCGATGCTCCATAAATTCACATAACTTCATATGGGATTCAAACACCCAAGTAGGCATTTCCATTGCTAGTTTGAGGACGTTAATACTAAACACAGATGGAGATTTATTTGGCTATTACACCCCAATAATGCTTTTTGTCCTCACTGAAGCCGTGGAACAGGGGGCATGGTGATGAGAGCTCTGCTCACTGGGGTAGACAAGGAGAATGGAGTCTTGCTCAGGTGAAGTCGACTAGAAATTACCCTGGCAATCAGCATCTCCTTTAGTCACCTTTGTTATGAGCACAGCAAAACCAAAAGGCTGCCTCAAAAGCACTGAGGCAATTGTTTTTTGCTGTACTGACTTCAGTGGAATTACTTCTGATTTAAACCTTGGGAAGTGAGAGAGGAGCCAGATACTGTGTAATTCTGCTCTAGCATCACCTCTTCCCATTAACAGTTCCTCCCATTTACATGAATAGTTAGCTTGAGCTAGAAGAAATATCATCCCTCTGGTTTCCAACCTGATGCAAAGATACTTGTGAGGCAACCTGAATGGAAACTGCATAACTTGGGGAGGAAGGTTTCTGAATCTAAACAGCAAGTTGTTCTTTGAAGGCAAGACACAAAGTGCTTAGACTGCTGGAAAAAAAACCCATCAAGTCATTCTCTCTCTGTAAAAGAGGTGGTAATGCAATCTGAGCTTAATTTTGATGGCACACTGTACTTCACAACAGTGACAACACCTTAAAACTGTAATGAAAGGGCCTGATTTATTACTGAAATAATCCATTTAGCACTCCAATAAATAAAGGGAGAAAATACACCCAATATTTCGGCAGAAGGGAGGGAAAAAGAGAGAGGAAAATGGCCTTGCACAGCAGTTTTCTGGAGGTGCAGCAGGGATTGTGGCCACACGTTTTGGGGCTGATTATTTTCCTGCAGACAAACATAAATACAAAGTTAGGTCTGAGCTTTAGGCCTGGTGTCCACGCTGCATTGTGAGGTGCTTTAAAACCAGCAGCTCTGTGAGTCTGGAATGCCAGGGCTCGTTTTGACTGACAAGGGTGGGGAGAAGGGGGGGGGGATGACTTGCTGCCTTACAAATATTTGGGTTTGAATACGCTCTGGTAGCTGGTATTAAGTGCAAGGCAAATGTATTTTCTCCTCTTAATAACACAATGTTACTCCTGCAAATGTCAGCTCCTGCCTCAGTCCTTCTCCATTTCAGTGGCACTTGCCCCCAGTGAAGACTGGTGGGTTTTATGCTCCCTCTGTATCACTTCCAATTAATCTGTTTAATATGCTACAGGAGCTGGCAGTGGTAATGGCAGCAAAAGCAACAGAATCCTCATGTGGCAGATGCTTGTGTCCTGGATGCACGCTGGAGAGCGGAGTTGCCATCTCTCTAGAGAGGAAGAAAAACTTCCTAACACAGAAGCAGTCGGTCAACAGAATGAGTTACCTGGGGAAGGTGCTGGACTCTGACACTGGAAGTTTTAAGGCCACGCTGGACCAAGCCTTGAGGAAAGATGCAGAAAGGATGCAAGTGTGGCTCTGCAGGGTCTGCTGCTTTCAATGAGGGATGGTATTGGTGTGACAGCAACGGTAAAGGGGTTCTGCACATCCCCAGCATCATGGACAACACAAACCCATGGCTCAGGAACATCCCCCTCCTCACCGTGCTAGGAGCCAGACTGAGAGGTGTTGGCCAAACCTTAGCACGCATAAGAACGTGTTGTGTCCCCATCTCCCAAGCCCAGCTCTCTTGGTGTCACCATCAGCCAGTGCTGCACACCACTTCTGCCATCATTCAAATGAAATGGGAAGTGCAATGGGATGAAAAAAATAGGGGAGAAAAAGCAGCAAACTGCAGCCACGTGGCCCTTTTAGGGGGATATTTTGCTGTGTGGCCTCAGAGCATCCTGCCTTGGTGGCTTCATCTGGAGGCTGGAGGAATTGCTTCAGTGCTGGTGTCCCACTGCACCCTGCCCAGGCCTAATTGGCCTGTTTGTTTTGCAGTAAGTGATTCCTGCCTGTCTTGGGGTGGATTGTTTTTCACACCATTAAATGAAGTTCTGCTGTATTGATCCCTGTTTTTCCAATTTGAAGCCTGAAAAGTGATGAAGACATTTTCTTGTTTTCTCATGTACTTTTCCCTCAGTTCATTTAGGTGACCTGTCTTTAGTTCCTTCCTCTGCTCGCTGTAATTGCTTCTTCAGAGTAATGTTACACCGCCAGTGCAGTACTGCAGCTGGGGTATGTTCTTCTGGAAGGCTGAAGGAAGGCGAGGTTGAAGTCATCAACCAATATTAACTGTGGGAGGTTTGTCACAAATGACATCTCAATAGCACCGTCTCAGTGCCTCCTGCTGAAGCCTCAGTCAAACAGTGCAGAGGATGAGGGCAGGACCATGGGACAGCTTCATCGCTTCAGGCTGCTTAAGATTTTGCTTAAGAGGTGGAAACACTGTGGATCGTGATTTTACTTTGGGCACAGGTATCGTTATTTGTGTCCTTTTTACCTCTGTGAAAAACCTGAATACTGGAATGTATTTAGGGATCTGGTTTTGTTTAGCACTGACCTAAGGGGTGGGTTATTTCAGAAGAGATCAATAGAGTGGGTGCTGAACTTAGGTTTAAGTGGCAAGTTTAATTAAGGAGGGAGCAATGGTTGCTCCAATGTAGCCTCTCTTGCAGTTAATTAGAGAACAAGGTCTAAACTGAGCCCATACACACAGAGAGGTCTTCTAGTGGCTTCAGTAGGCTCCAGGACTACTCTGCTTCAACATGTAGAGAAGAAATGAATTTCAGGTGCTTCCTGAGTGCTTCATAGCAGCACCTGGGGTACCTCTGCCCCTCGCCAGTGCTCCCAGTGTGCTCCTGTCACTCTGAAGCAAGGCAGAGTATTCCTTAGACTCTACAATGCTTCAGAAGAGTTTTACTCCCAGCCTTACCTGGTATTTTTGCTTCCCAGTTCACAAGGAGACACATAAAACATCCTTGTTTTAAGGAACTTGTTGCTGCTTTGATTTCTTAGGCAAGTGGATTTTGGTGGCTTTGCAATAAATGATGCTGCACAGCACTTTATTTTGCTTTTCATTGCAGGAAGGGAGTAAAGCAAGTGCTAATAAAGATGGGGAATTGGCAACGCCTGTGCAAGGCTGGGGGAATGGGCCCCACCTCTAAGATGCTTCCAAAGGGAGCTCAGCCCCTTCCCTGCTGTGATGCTGCTTACAAAAGCAGTGGGGGATGTCTGTGCGCACCCAGAGTCAAGCACGGCTCAGGTAAGCTCAGGAAGAATTTATTCCCTGCTCCTGGAAACAATCCTGTCTAAGAGCGAGTGGCCTGGAGGAGGGTGTGGAGTCTTGAGGGATCTGGAGTGCAGGAAGGCAGGTGTGCAGGGGGGGTTCTGCAGGTGCATCTCAGAGCACACTTATTAGGAAGATGATAATTTATTCTGCATTTCTGCTGCTATATTATGCACATAAACCTGAATTAGGTAAGAACTTTACTGCACAAATTGTGCTTGCTCGATGCGAGCACAAAATAAAGAGGAAGAGTCTTTTCTTTGGATATCTTCTGCTCTAAATGGGTTGGAAATGCTGAGAGAGGAGGTTTGGGGGGGGGGCAGGATGTGTCTTCATGCTCTCAGCATCTACTATCATGAGGTCCCTGCTCCAACTGGCCTTCCAAAGTGTTATCACAATGCCAAGTGATGCATAATACAGATTAGAGATAGGGAAAGGCACGTAGTAGGAAAAGAAACTTGTGCCAATGTATTATTCCAAGAATAGCAAAAAAATCTAATCTGCAGTTTGAGACCATGGTGCCATATGGATATCTGGGGGCAAATCTTGGGAATGATGTCCACCAGAGCTAAATGA